TCGTGGCCTGTCAATTTCAGAAGAACACTTCATTGTTATTTTGTAATACATGCATATCAAAGGAACTTTTAGTGTAATAAATACGTAAGTCAATATTCGTCCGTGAAAAAAACTAACAACATGAAAGTTATTAACCATTGATATATATATATTGAGCATAATCGAATAGAATACGTATTCTGGTACTGTTATTAACATGCTCGCAATTATAGTCATCATTCTATCCCATGATGTTCAAAAACGTTTCTGTTAGGCGATGAAATGAGTATAGAAATATACTGGTTGAAATAAATTATTCTCTAATCGGAAAAACAAGAATTATATTCTCAAGCGTTACGGATTTCGGCAAAAATAGAAAAAAAATCCTAAAAGTTCAACCGCTGCAGTACTTCGAAAAACCTATCACGCCGTCAGGGACATTTCTGATTTATTTTCCATTCTACACATATATCGATAATAATTTTCTATTTTTCATTTGTTCAAATGCATTAGTGGTTGTTACCATATCGAACAAGTGCACAAAACTAATTAGCTGTATCTATAGAGAAATTTTATAGACATTGTTTATTTTAAACTGTTATCAATCGTACAATAAGAAAAGAAAGTCAATTCTTTATCTTTTGTTATTATTCTAGTAGAGTTGTTCTTAAGTTTATGATGAGAACAGTTTAAGTCAATCCTTAATACCGCAGAATGTGGACTAGGCTAAAAGTAGATCCCAACTATACTTATAACCGCACGCATATCTTCACACCTTCATCTTCATCAACATATTCTAGCATTCACATACACACATATGCCATTCGACGTTAGTAATATATCTATGATGCAGAGCATTCAGTGATTGTTGAAGTCCATCAATTAATTGTGCCAATCAATAGATCACACAACAATCAATCGACAATTGCTTGGAAACTCCTAATAGATAAATTCATTTAAATGTTCTGATAGTAGAAAACCGAATGAGAAAATTGTTGACATCATTATGTTAAGTATGACATAGAAAGTGCACCTAGAGAAGCAGCTTTATTGTGATTGAAGGTACCTCTTGTGCACTACTCTGATTTTGAACAATGCTGTTTTCAGTACTAACCTTAGTATTGATTCATTATTAATGTCAATTTAAAAAACGAACAGTCTCTTGGAGCAATACTTCTCAGAAATTTTTAGTATCTCAGCACTGAAAAATCCACTGACGAGGGGGAAATAGCGGATTTTAAAACATTTCATCAGACTTCGCGGCACTTTATGAAACTTTACAAGACTAAGAGACTTTGAAGGCTTCATAGAACTTCGAAGCCGAAGTCTCAGTTGTTTTTACCTCATCCTGTGATGGACTAAGAAGCTGATTTCCCCTTGAGAACCACTTAAAGCTACGTCACAATGCATCTTTCTTCAATGAATTACAATCCAAGTGGTGCTACTAATCAACAGCTCCGATATATTTACCTACTATGGTGAAATTTATCAACATCGAGTCCGCTTGATCATTCGAGTTTGGTACATGAAGCCAAACACTATCAATTATTGGTACTTTTTTAAAAGTTCTCGAATGCAGTAACAATTCATTTTTTACACACCCACAAATGAATGCAACTCTTACTCTTGAATTCGAAATGTGAAAAAGAAACAAAAACATGAGCAAGCACAACATTTTTCCATTAAGGTAGAACAGGCAACGAACAATAACTGAAGTACACATCGCACAATCAATCTGCGCTCTGTAAAAAAACCTTCATTTTTCGAGCAAAAGAGCCGTCATTTTTTCTGCTGTTGACTTGCTAGAGACATCATCGCATCATGCCGACGATCACACAAGCTGTTACTACGTTTCTTCCTCGCCCATATGCCCCTATCCAAGAAAGTATGGTAAGAAAATTGAAACTGATGAAATAAAACGCTCGACAGAATGCATGCTATTCTTTCTGATACGATGTTTTAAAATGTAACAAAAGTTAGGGTTACTTTACAACGATTATCGCACATCAACCATTTGACTCGGTCTAATAGACGATACCTGATCATATTCATCTCATTGCTCTCAAACCACATTATTTGTATTCTTAGTAATTGGATTCTTTAAATCTTTAGAATCTTTTTGAGCAACACAAATCAGATTGTCTTTGGTGATCTAAACTAAAATGAAACAAATTATAGCTGGCATTTACACAGTTCTGGTCAACCAATGTGAGACATTTTCTCTGACTTATTATAAGATACATATAAGTGACTTCATATAAACTCATACCCACAATTGAAGATATTCTGTGTTCCTTTATGCCAGAGCATACAGATTTTCCACGGACGGCTTCTATTGCGTCTGATTTCGTTTCAAAATTTCTAATGAAAAGCATTTAAAAAAAAAAAGCAATTTCGACGATTGAGGAAAAGAGTTTTAAGGTTTTAAAACCTTCAAAATAATTTTGACCTCAGTCTTTTAAGATTTTTTCGGTCAAAACTCTGAAAATTCGACATCTTTCGATTTCAAGAGTGAGTAAATTTCGAATTTTGAGAGAAATCAATTAATGAAAGGTATTTTTCTATGATCTCAGGGGCACCATTTATCAAAAAGAGGTTTTCTATTTCGNTGCGCGAGGGGTCCCAGGGTCCGGCGGTTTGAAGCTGGAGCGGGGCGGGGGGGGGGGGGGGCGCCATATTTCTAATGATTCAAAGTGCAAAGTCGTGAAAGACTATCGAGCTGCTCTCACTCGAAAGCTCCTGGCTAACGTGGTATCAAGAACCGTAGGAGATACAAGTTCTGAGCGAACACAGTTAAATAATCAGCTGTTCAGTTCTACGACTGGTCGTCTGCCTTACTCTACTGTCGCTCAAGCGATGCCGTCGAACATGAACGATTTAATTGGCAAGAAACTCGATAGCATGTTAGCAACAGTGGAAGAAGAATTTAACGCAACTCGTCGATCTATTGGGGAACTAAAAGATGAAATGAGTATTCGTTATGACGAAACAAGAAAACAGGTTGATATGTTAGAAAAGAAGGTGAAAACAATGGAAAAGACATTTGAGGATCGGTTCATACAAATGTACGCAATAATGCAGAACTTATGTACGTCCATAATGGATCCACAAAGTGCACAGGGCGTAAATTGGAAATCATATTGGCAGGAACAAATTAAAATGCTGACAGAATTCAGATCATCCCGCTCGAACTCTACAGAATGATCAATCCGGTAACCGATACTTACAGCTTAGATTTTAATGCTACTCGTTTTCTGGATACAGCTCGTAATACGCTTTCGCCAAAAGACTTCTCTCTGCTTTCGGATGTTCTGCTAGATTGGCACTCTGCTTCTTCATTAACCCATCTTGCTTCGAAATGGAAACCTTTCCAAAAATCGTCCCAGCACCAATCTTATTCTTATCTACATATGCTTTGCTTTAATGTTCGTGGTCTTGATCTAAGATGGGGCGAAGTCTGCCTGCTGGTGGGATCACATCGTTCTGATATTATAGTTTTGGGCGAGGTTGGGCATGTGGATTTCTCTCTAACTGGGGCGGCCTTTTCGAATTATCGATTCTTCTATCAATGTGGAGAAAACGCACACGGGGGTGTTCTGGTTATGATACGCAACGACATACCTGTCACAAGAGTCCCCTGCTCATTACCAAATGTATGTACGATTGATTTGCTTTTAGAACAAACAATTAGACTTGTTGGAATATACGCACCTGCAAGTAAAATATGGGACTGGTCGGATCTGTCGCCGTTCGTCACCGATCACTGCTTGATGGCGGGCGACTTTAATATCGACATCGAGAAAGATGGCGAAAAAGCCAACAAACTACTTGAATGGATGGATTCATGCGCGCTTGGACCTATCGTTCCTGATTCCAATACATCGCTTCGTTCGAAGCGCACAATTGATTATGTCGCAGCCGTCGGTGTAGATCTTACGATTCAAACGGTTGACGGGGATACATTGAGTGATCACAAGCCCTTACTAGGTGTACTAGCATGTGATGAGGTTGGAGCCTGCGAAGGGTCGCGAACAATCTGGTCGGTTTTTTCCTTAGTATTGTCGTACACGTCAGGCTTTTGGGAAAAAGAATGGAAATATGGATCATACGATGTTATATACGAACGGTTTATATCTTTTCTGGCACTTCTGGTCGCCAGGTGCAAACAATACTTTCCGCTTAAACTTGCTCGTCCTTCTGTTCCGCCTGAGCTCATGAAGCTCCTAGCGCAAAGTAGGTCATTATCTTTCAAAGCGAAACGGAAGGAAGATTTGGTACTCCGGCAAGAAGCTCGTCGTTTACGAAATCTGGCTCGTTTCAAATTAAAACGTTTTCAACAGAACCATTTGACCAAACTATTAAAAGAAAGACATGCGCCAGCTGAAAACTCTACCTTATGCTGGAGTAAAGCAAAGAGACAATTCAGGACTGTTTCCTCTTCGTTGAGGGGTTTCAAATTATCGAACGCTGAAATAATAAAGGATGCACAATCGATCGCAAACACGGCTGCTGAACACTATGAAAAACTATTCAAGACTCCGGTGGTGGTACGTCCACACCCATATGTCTATGCACCTCTGATCCGATGGGATAATGTGTCAGATCCGATACCACTGGTGAACTATCCTGAAATACTTGGAGTACTACGAGCTAGAAAGAAGAAACAATCACACGATATTTATGGACTCTCGCCATATATGCTGGATAAAATACCTAGAAATTACTGGCATCATTTTGTGCAGTTATATAATTATTCGTTTACCAAAGGCTATATCCCAAAGAAATTTAAAGAGGTAAGAATGATACTGATGGCTAAGAAAAGTGCTATATGTGCACCGGACCAGAAAAGACCGATTTCGCTTCTCGACTCGTTTTTGAAAATACAAGAAAAACTCTTCTTGAATAGATTCGTTCAAGTTTTGAAGAACCGTGGTATTCTTCCAGACAATCAATCTGGTTTTCGTGCTGAGCATAGACTACAAACACGGGTATTATTACTCATTGAGCAAAACTCGTCATATATGTCGAATAGTTCTCCAGTCACAACGGTTTTTGTAGATTTTAAATCAGCATTTGATCAATTATGGTTCGAAGGCTGGCTTGGTAAACTGGCCAGAATGGGTATTCCACATGCATATGTCAACTGGATTCGAGCATGGCTAAGTGACCGACGAGCAGTCATTGAAGTCCAAGGAAAAAGATCAAAATGGATTTCAATGGAACGCGGTGGTCCTCAAGGCTCCAGTTTCACGCCGACATTGTTCGTCACGTACCACAGTGATATGGCCGATTTTATTCCTAAGGCAATGTCGTTTTTCTTCGCGGACGATCTGGCCGTAGTACTAGCGGGTCGAATAGGTATTAAGTATACAGATCAGTGTATAGATCTCGAACGCCGGCTACAAATGCTCCTGGAGCAACTCGAATTCTACTCGATTCTAGCTGTACAACCAATAAATTACTCAAAAACTCAAGCAATGTTCTCAGCACGAGCCGTCTGGTATCCGAACCCAATGTCACAGCTCCGATGTGGTGGTCACTCGATTGAATGGATTTCCTCGTTTAAGTACCTTGGATATTCGTTAACGACAAAGATGGGATGGGAAACATCATTGGAATTACGCGGCTAAAAACGCGTCAACGTACAGCATTGATTAATTCCTTCAGGTTAAGTGGCACGTCCTCGATGCAATTACGACGAGTTCTCTTCTCGACATTTGTACTGCCACATTTCACCTGGTTATTTGGGATCTATCCATTATTCACAGATAATCAGCGGATGGAACTCAACCATTTGTACTTCACACTGTTGAAACGAATTTATCGATGTCAATACTGGGAGGACTTATTTTTTTCGGCGATATATAATGAAAGAACACTAGACGATCTGTGCTTCACATATTGGGAAAAGTACCTCAAGAAGCTGTCCAAATCAGTAGATGGGTATCTTCTATTAGAACAATCTGAACTAAATGCTCATCGATCGAATTGGGTAGATGGGGCAAGACGAATTCATTGCCTTTACAGATCAAAAAGATTCGTGCCGCACGTCTCGGTGTTTGGGCAAGCGCTTCGATGGATGGAGATTCATGGAACTTCGGATTCAGTAGTTGAACTAAAAGAAGAAGATCTTGGATGTTTTGCTCTTTTCCCCGAGAGTTTCTTGGCGAGGAACCTCAAAGACAGTGATGTGAAGGTCACTCTGACAAAAAAAAGAAGAGAGAAGAATAAGAACAGAGAAAAGAGGTAACGGGAGAAAAGAAAGAAAAGAAAAATATGCATGTTCTCCTCTTAACAGAGCGCGTAAGCTGCTTTCTCTCCTTTCGTTTTTGTGTTTTACTCTTGTAATTTGCTGAAGCACCTCTCGATCCCGTTCACAACATTGGTTGCTTTTTATGTCTCTTTATTATCTTTTTATTAAGTTTTTGCTTCTCATTGGGATACACGCAATCTCAAAGATAAATGGTTCCTTTAGGACCATAATGGTCGTAGGGAGTTTTGTTTGCTAATAAAAAAAAAAAAAAAAAAAAAAAAAATTTTCTACCTGAGAATACATCCTATTCCGCGATGTTGAACATTGCGGAATCAGTTCCGGGCGGAACTGACTTCGTCCAATTCCGGGAGCTCGATTATGATTCTACAGAACAGATCCCATCGATATCGATCGAATTCCTTCTGATTCCGGAATTCCTTCCAATTCCGGAAATTCCTTCCGATTCCGGAATTTCTTGTAATTCCAAGAATTCCTTCTAATTCCGGAATTCCTTGTAATTCCGGGGATTCCTTCCAATTCCCACTAATTTCCTCTCCACTCAATTCCCGGAATTCCGCAACGGAATTACTTCTCGCCCTCACCCACAATCATAGTGGTGTGGCTGATGATTTATCCTTATGATAAATTAGTAATTCTGGTACGAAATTCCGGGAATTGATTCGACACGAAATTGCTGGGAATTGGAAGGAATTCCTTCCAATTTCGAAATTCCGTCCTATTCCGAGAATTCCTTCCAATTCCCACTAATTCTCTCTCCACTCAATTCCCGGAATTCGTGGAACTCGATTAATATCAAATAGGTCTCTTTTGCTGAATGATGACGGAGTTCCCGGAGTTGGGTGGAACTGATTCCGGAGACGGAACTAGTTCCGCAATGTTCAATATCGCGGAATAGGATGACTGCTCTTCTACATTGACCCATCATCATCAGTGAAGAGTGACAAGACATAGGAAGAAAAACCAGACGTGACTCTGATCATATAATACATGCACTCACAGGAAAATAATATTTTTTCCGCATCGAAAAAGACGATTGTTGCTCTCTCTGTCTCTGTTTATCTGTGTGTGTTCATGTCTGTAAAAGCATTGAATATTTCTTTTCACATACAATATATTGCAGAGACACAAACGATGATGGTATCTTGTTTTCTTCCTGAAGACTGCTGCAGAGATGAGTCATAGTTGATGTATAAAATTTTTTCAGTTGATACACGTCTAGACATGATTTTCTTACAAACTATGTGTTTAGTGCAACAACTTTTGAGCGTAGAAATGTTTTGAAGTAAGCCCTTGCCTCATTGAATTCCTACAGATCTTTTTATCAGTTGGACAGACAAATTTGCGATGTGAAACGTATCTAGTACTATAAACAGCAACTACATGGATGTGTTTTATCGATTAACACAACAGCGAAATATTTCTCAGTCGCGTATTTTATTTCACTTTGCTAAGGAAGATGTAAAACTTCCAAACAAGGTACAAAAGACTAATATGACCGATGCTTCTATAACGTTTGAATGGTGATAGATGAAATTATATGGCGAATTTGTGTTAATTTATCAGTGGCTTTCTTTAAAATCGTCGAATAGTACTGTTCGAATTCTAAAGTGCAATAAATTGGTTTTTCATCTTTCAAAACTTTTTTTCATCATTAATTTGTTTTTTAATATTTTCAAGTGTTCTTTCTTTTAATTTATGATCGTATCATGTTTTTTGTCTGCACAATGTGTTGTATATGAATAGAAATATTCAATGCTATCATAGACATACACATACACAGGTAAACATAGAGAGAAAGAGAAAAACACCCATTATTTTTAATGTGAGAATAAAATCATTTTCTTTTGACTGTGTGCGTCGTGGAATCAGATACGGGTCTCGTTTTTCTTCTCATGTCTCGCTACGGTTCACTGATCATAACTAGTCAATGTAAAAACTTTGTTTTTCGTATGTACTTCTCTTCATATTTTATGTTCGCCAGACCGTCATTTATGCGTAGAACGGACACTCTTAATAACTCGATTTCTTGTCTTTTTTTTTGTGCACTAAAAAATAATATTTCATATTTAATTGGTCTTTCGATCAAAGTAAATACAGTATATTATGAGTTGCATGGAAATAAGTCATGTATTCAGAGAGAAATCTAATATGAGTATGTATAGGACTACACAAAAAATGGTTTCAGTACTATAAGTCAAACTTCTGCATCACTTTTGAGTCGCAGTGTTATCCATGGATAGTTGTTGTTTGCAAAGGTATTCATTTGTATGCCACACTCACTGCGATGCTCTTTCTCAGCAACCATGTGAGACAATTTCCTAGATAACTCTACATTTTTTTGTTACAGTTATAGCATTTCATGTTAACAAAAGTGAGTTGAACAATTAACAAATAATCGATTCGGTAACGAAATACTAGTGAACTTTTTTGAGTGATTATTTGCCTCATTTTCCAGTATGCATATTTTAAAATTGATAATCCTTGTTGTCGTTACGTTTTGATAATAATCTTCCCGTTTTGTTAAGAACTTTTGTCTTCACCGATCTATTCATTTAAGATTTATTGATTCTATTGTGCGCATCGATACACTACTTACTGCTATTATTGTATTGAAAAATTTCGAAAAACATTGAAAGTAAGAAACTGCTTTTGTTAACATCATGCACAGATCTGCATGCACTTTTTTTTCATCCCAATGAATGTTCGAAGAAAAATTCCCAAAAATTATATAACACTGTAATGCTTTACCTCGAAATTTTGAGCTCACTTTTTTAGACCACTGTCAATCAACTGTCACATACTGTTAATGGCTTGTAATTTCCCATTCATCCTGTTGATAAAAAAAGAGTATAAGAAAAGATTCCATTCTATTGAGAAAGCTATACCAATCACTATAGTATAAAAGTGTACTTTGTAGCTCATATTATTTTTTATTGGCATCAGTACTCTTTCACGAATTGAGTAGTCTTCAGATATGCTAAATAATGATTTCAAATAAGAATAAGTCAAGCAAAATCAATTCTTGTATAAGAAATCATATCTTTCCTAGAGAAAGTCAAACCAAAAAAACGATAGATGTTGTTCAACATCAGTTATTTTGAATTATTAGGTGCTAAATTTTGAAAGAATTCACCTGTCGTCTTAGTATTAGCGCATATATAAATTGACATACTAAAATAAAAGTCATTACTAATAAAAACTCGAAGAGTTATCAGAGTTTTACATTATATACCTCAGTAAAACTGTAGCAACAAACTTTTCTCGAAAGAACTTGTTTGTTAATTGACACATTAAACAAGCCTCTTATTCAGCGGCTGAATTTTGTATTTGAATGAGTCAGTTTTTCTCTTTGTTTTTGCTAGTCAACTGAAGAATCTCAATCTACTGGTCTGACACGCGAGAAAAAAATCCTAGTGGTTTCTACCATATTAGGCTGTTATTATAGAAAGCAATTTCAAAGAAATGTTTGATAGAGATTACTAGCAAAGATATTTATCAATAATACCTGAAATTACACAAGAGATTTGAGGATATACTCTGCTTCAAGAATTGAAAATCTACAAATTTTGAAAAGATCCAAGCTCATCTTTCTGAACTCGTTTGAGTCCAATCAGCAACAAATAACATAATAAAATGCTTTGTTGAGATCCAACCATGGAGAAAATATTTATATTTATTCTTTAGAAGTAACTCACAAATGACAACAGTTGACGATAATATCGAGACATTCAGTCTGATCTGGCTTGATGCAGCAGTTAACTCATCAAAGGAAAACATTCAGGCTCAACCAGATCTTCGTGCAATAATTAATTATCTCAAAGTATTTGAAAATGTTGAAAAGTGCGAAAAATACATTCGAAAGTCTCACGAGTCTGATCGAATTGTGCTCATCGTCAGTGGCGGCTTGGGACAAGAAATAGTACCTCGAATTCATAAACTTCGACAACTTTGTGTCATCTATATCTACTGTATGAACAAGAAGAAAAATAAGAAATGGGCTAGTCAATATTCAAAAGTACAGAGCAGTGATGATTAGTTGTAATTCTCTAAGAATATTTCCTATTTAGATCAAATTAATAACTACAGATCTCGATGATCTCATTCATCAAATTGAAAAAGATCACGTCAAGACGAAAAAAGTTGAAGAGCAATTCGGAATCACCTTCTTGGAACGCGATTCAGTAGCAGATCGATCGTCATTCGGTCTCAATGGACAATATCTTCAATTTCAACTATTGATGGATTCTCTTCTTCGTATACAAGCTACTGAAGAAGATAAGAAAGAACTAATTTCGATCTGTAAAACAAAATACAAAGACAACAAAAAAGAACTTGATAATGTTCATGAATTTAAGAATAATTATAAACCTGATAAAGCCTTATGGTGGTATACGCGGGAATCGTTTCTATATCGAATGTTGAACAAAGCCTTACGCGTACAAGATACCGAGCTGCTTTATCTTTTGCGATTCTTCATCTTCGATCTTTGCAAAGCAATTGAAAAGCATCGATGTTCAACACCCATTTGCACTTACCGATCTCAGTCAATATCGGAGGATGAATTTCGTGGATTATCAAATTCAATCGGAAAATTGATTTCGATGAGCTCATTTTTCTCAACCAGTCTAGATCCAAACAAGGCCCTCGACTTTGCCGATCCTGCGGATGACCTGCGACAAATTTTCTTTGAAATTGATGCTGATCCTCGAATTCACGGCGTCCAACCGTTTGCTGAGGTCGCTGTACATAGTGCTCATCCGGAAGAAAGAGAAGTGCTCATGACAGTCGGATCCATCTATCGCATTCTTGATGTTAGTCGTGGTGATGGTAAAGTTTGGACGATCAAAATGCGATTGTGCAGCGAAGATGAAAATAATATGCGAAGGACTTTAGAACACATGATAAGGGAGAATCTTGTCGAAGGTTACGAACAGAGACGTCTCTTGTTCGCCACGCGGTTGATGAACATGAATAAACTCGACGAAGCCGAAAAACATCTTATTCATTTGTACGACACACTGCCTCGTGATCATAAAGATATTGTACTTTTGTATTCTAAACTCGGAGATCTCGCATTCGAAAAGGACGATCTCGCAACAAGTCTTAAATGGCATCAAAAAGCATTAAAGCGAAAAAATGAAACGTTAAAGCCGAATGATACTAATCTTGCCGATAGTTACAACAGTATTGGAAATGTATATGCAAAACAAAACGCTTATCCAGATGCACATAAGTCCTATAACAAAGCTATGGAGATCTGGAAGAGAGCGTTTGGTGAAGACCACTTGGCCATTGCCTCGTATCTCACTAACATAGGTAATGTCTTCAACCAAGAGAAACGATACTCTGAAGCACTTCAATGCCATAATAAAGCGTTGATGATTCGTAAAAAATTTCGTCCTTCTGATCACCCAGACATGGCTGCATCATTGAATAATCTGGGCCTTGTCTACAAGTGCAATGGTCGTCTGCAAGAAGCGTTGAAATATTTCGAACAATCGCTTGTGATTAAAGAAAAGTCTCTTTCATTCCAGCATCCATCAATTGGGTCAACATGGGAGAACATGGCCTCCGTGTTTGAACAGAGCCAGGAGTTGCACAAAGCACTAATTTATTACAAAAAAACGGCTGAATGTTATCGTCTCAGACTTGGACCCACCAATCGAAGATTTGTTAATGTTGAACAAAGTATTCGAAATGTTGAATCTAAACTGAAAAAAAAGTAGCGATATTTCGTGTTTATGAAAGCGAATGTATAAAACTTAATAAATAAATAATTATTGGAATTTAACCAAGAGAATTATTAATTAATAAAGTTTCAAAAGTCAAAGAGGAGCACCAATAAGAGTTTTGAGTTACAAATATTTCCAATACCCATTATGCCTCTCTTGTTTTGAACGTAACTATTCATATACTATGATGTAAAAACGATCATCTTTAACGGTGAGGTGACTCTTTTTGCAGAAAATGTGAATGATGTTGCATTGTAATGACAAAAGCAGGTATCGGTTGACTTTGTAATGTTCATGTTTCTTTTTGATAATAGAGATATTCGCTTTTTCTTATGTTCTTTTGCAATGCAGGATCTTTGAATAATTGCAACTGTTGTCTAGCTGTCTCGGGATGATCTTATTGTAGAGTTTGAATAAAAAAATGCTCATTCACCTTTGTTGATTCTGTCGAAACTTGGAGAGCTTAGACGTTTTTATTCGCTAATATTCGATGAGTTATATGATTGTAAAAAAATATCAACTCAACCTCTGTAGCGCTTATTTGCTATCGATCAAAATAGTGCAGTTTCTAAGTGAGAAAAAAATGCCAATTACTTTGTAAAAGATTAAATGATTTTCTTCCTGTATGTAGTAATTTATTTGGTGAAAAAGAACTTCCAGAACTGATCTTTTTGACTAAAATCCAAAATGTTTGATGCCATTTATACCTAAATCTGTCAATGACCATATACAGAATAAGAATCTATTTCCAACATTAAACCTTTGAATTGTATAAGTTCAAGTATTGAAGACATTCAGTATATTCTAAAAAATCTGAAAACTTCATAATACTCTCATACTAACAGGTCTAGCAATTCTCTTTTCATATTTCCTTTACGTGATTTCAAGCAAAAGATGAAAAGCAAATTATCATTCTCAATGAAATTTCGAATATTTGTTATAAATATAATAATAATGGTAATAGCTTATAAAGGCCATAGGTTTCTTTGGAATTATAAAAGACTTGGTCCTAATGTTTGGAGTAAAATATTTCCAGAATGTGCTGCATATAGTCAATCACAGATTAATATTAAAACAACATGTACCATTTAGCAAAATTTTGAACGATTTCATTGTGCATTTAGTCACAATAAAAGATTTAACTTTACATTATACAATGATAGATATACAATAACAGCAACATATAATGATCCAAAATTGCTACTTTATGATCAAATTTGAATGGAAATTATCAATTTTTTAATTTTCATCTTCATTGGGGACCAAATAAAAATATAGGAAGTGACCATCAACTGTATGTATATATGTATCGGTTTTTTCATCAATTTTCTATCAAAATTGAGTTGGCAATGTCGTTCTTTCAATAAAGTAACAATCTATTCGATATGCTCTTCTGATTATATCGATGTAGTTTAATAATACATTGATGTTTCTAAAAAAAGAAAAGCTATATATATATATAGGAATGGTCTCAAGTATATGGGTGAAAGTCATTTTGTATATGAAAATGTTGTAACGCATAAGATGGTTGTATTATCTTTCTTGATGAGAAGTCAACAAAATCTAGTTGATTAAGAACATAAAACACGTTATCAGCATGAACATGCAACAATAACTCAATGTTACGAATATTTTGATAGAGCACAATATGTAGTTCAAGAAAATGATTCTAGAACAATTGATTTAAATCTATCATTAGTTAAAAGAAATAATTTAGTTGATTTTTGGAGATATAATGGCTCATTGATTGTTCCACCTTGTACTGAGGATGTTACTTAGACTGTAATTAAAGAGCCTATTTATATATTTAATTATGACTTTGAAACACTTCGACATGATTTATTATTTGAAAGTTATCGTGGTCCACAATCATTGTATGATCGACAAAATTGAAGTTTTCCATATGAAATTGGATCATGAATACCCGATCGAAATTGTTGTTGCAATAAAAAGTCTAAAGCCAATTTGTTTTTTTTTTATAGAAGATAACTCGATTTATTTTTATTTATTGTATATCAGTTTTATAATGATCTTTAATTGATTGAGAATATTTTTCAATTTTACTTTCGTATAAAAGCTTTTCCAACACTAATTTTGTGGTTTTCGTAAAGATAAAATCATTTTTCTCTACAACTATTTCCTAATATATTGTAATTATATTTATTGTAAAATAGAATCTTATCAAATTGTTTTACTCATTCATATATTTTCAACAACAACAATAGATGAAATAGTTTTGTTTCTATTACATTGATTGTATTAATGTTTTATTTCATTGACTATATATAGAAAGTCATCAATCTTAATAAAAACAAAAAAAGAGTTTAATAAACAATGTTGATATACTGTTTTCAGATAGCATTTTAGACTTTTTCTTTGTGCTCTATTAATTTCTCGTAAAACAATAACTATTCGATCATTTATTTGAATATTTTCTTGTGCATAATCAATTGTAGGAACATTCTACATAAGATTAATTTTTGAAGTATATCTTCGAATGATAATCAATATGTGTTCTTCATCTAATGTTTGTATACCACAATAGGATCAAAACACATTGCTATCTCTTAATATCATATAATAACTAAAGACTTTAGCACGAATTTAGTCACGAATAGACACAGATAGAAGTTTACTTTGATTGGATTTGTCCGTTATATATCATATAGTGTTATTTACGCTCGATGTCTATCATTAATACGTTATTTTTGAGCATTGAAAACCCAAACAATAGTTGCATCTTCTTCTGTTGCCTTTTCTTTTTATATATTGGCAAAAAAAAAGTATTCATAACAATGTTCGAATATTTGTTATTAATGTTGATCGACCATCTAATAGAACTTTTAATAGTAAAGCAAAACGCTTTTTTTGAATTTGAAATGTATTTGTTCAACCCGGTTAATAACTTGTTTGTACTAATAAGAGACTTTTATGATATAATAAAATCAATTTTTCAATTATCATCGTTTCTTATTTGTCCTATCACAAAATATTCTCATTTAAAGATCTGCTGTCTCATTTTGAAAACGTTCATTCATTTATATTCTATTTTGAAATATTTCAAATGTTGCGTATTCTCAGTTAACATTTTCATATAGTTTTATTTAACTTGAAGAATATTTCACATAGGATTTGTGCTACTCTTTCAACCACATGAAAATTATTCATTATGATTTTGCCCGCATTTCAAGATTTTTAGATAATTTGTTTTTGATGGTTTGACGAAATAATGCTTCAAATATTTGTTTATCTAAATAGATCGTATTCATATTAGATAAGAAGCAGAAACCACAAATTCAATATAATCTTCGCACTACTCATCACAATTGAATCACTGAAGATATGTGTTTCCTCAAACGATTTTGTGGAGAACTCGTCATTATCAATATATAATCCATTTATTCAGTCAACGTCTTTATTTTTCATACCGATCAATGGATAAGTTGCTTACAACCTCAATTATTTTCCATATTATCTTTGTTTCTTTCATCACTTTAATTTGGATCATGACATTGTGAATCACTGTTAATATTTCAGTGGAAAGAGACGATTAGGGAGATTTTGAACAATCGGTGCATAGTGGGATTCTGAACTTTCGATTTCTACCTGTTACTTTTTAAGACGACTAAGATGATTAACTCGGCAAAAAGCTGCAAGATGTTCTGTTCTGAAATATATTACGTTTTTGAAACCAAAATGATGTCAAGTGATGAAAAAAATAGCAAGTAAGAATTAAAGAATCATGGTGAATAGTTTTATCCAATTTACCTTCATTTGCTAACGAGTAGGAAACAAAAACGCAACGTTTGAAAAGTTTCTCTGTGGGTATATTCAAATATTGAGCTCAGCGTTGTTTCATGNAATATTAGCATGGAATAATTGATAAAATTATACTAGTGAAATATCATTTGAAAACTATAAAATTAGGTTTATGTGGAAAAATACTCCTCTCTACTGAAAACAATAATTGTTTAATCATACGTTTACTGTTAAACTATATAGAAAGCTGAAAAAAAAATTCTGTTGCGATCTATCGATAAATGAAGCAAAGTTGACCAACATTCAAGAAGACATAACTCAAAATATAATAATCAAATTTTCAATTTTTACGAGACATATCTTGCTCAGACATGATATAAAACTGTTGAAAAAGAAAAGAAAAGAAAGAAAACATGTGTCACTTGTTTTATATACATTTCACTTTCACTTGGATTTGATTCTATAGATAAATATTGACATATATTATTTACTCAAAAGAGTAAAAAGAAATATATACAATTGAGCGCAGTTTCGAAAGGTATGGCCCAGAAAAGAAAAGATTGCGGGTCATGTAATGATGCATTGATCGCGATGAATGTAAGATGATATGTTGACGAAAAGAAAAAATAAATAAAATGCCTTATCATCATTATTTTAAGATTACAGATAACAAATAGCGTCATACACAAAATATTTTTTCGTTGTGTCATTCGAATAAGATGATACTTGTTGTTTGGATCGGTGTTGTTATCATCATATGGCTTCTGTTCAAAATTTTTAATTCAACGGATGTTCCAAAAATTAATGGTCTTCCAGAAGCTTCAGGTTGGCCTATTTTTGGAAGTTTATTTGAATTAGGAGATAATCATTCTCTTGCTCTATTGAAATTGGCTAAAAGGCTTGGTCTTGTCTTTCAAATTCGTATGGGAAATAAACGCATTGTTGTTGCAAATTCATACGACTCTATTAGAGAATTATGGATCAGAAATCAATCTTTATTGATTAGTCGACCAATGTTATATACATTTCACACTGTTGTTAGTAGTAGTCAAGGTTTTACAATTGGAACATCTCCTTGGGATGAATCATGTAAACGACGTCGTAAAGCAGCTGCAACAGCGTTGAATAAACCTGCTGTGCAATCGTACATGCCAATTATTGATGCCGAATCATATTCTGCAATCAATGAAATTTTAAAAGAATGTGAAGATGGACAACTAGATATTGATGTCATTCCTCATCTTCAACGATTTGCTCTTAATACATCACTTATGCTTAATTATGGTACACGTTTTTCTTCATCATTTGATAAACTGCTAAAAGAAATTGTTGAAGTTGAAGCAGCAATTTCACGATTTCGATCTACATCGGATAATTGGCAAGATTATGTTCCACTTCTTCGACTTTTTTCTGCTAAGTCTAATCAAGCTGATTCTTATCGACTCCGTCGTGATCACTATCTTGAAATTCTCTTAGACGGTTTAAAGAAAGATATTGCTAATGGTACAGAAAAACCATGTATCACCGGTAATATTCTGAAAGATCCTTCAGCCAAATTGAATGACATTGAAATTAAAAGTATCTGTTTAACAATGGTGAGTGCTGGCCTGGACACAGTTCCTGCAAATATTATTTTTGGTATAAGTTATCTCTCATCAGCACATGGCCAAGAAATTCAAGAACGTGCATATCAAGAAATTCAAGATGTTTATCCTGATGGTGATGCATGGGAAAAGTGTTTAGTCGAAGAACGAGTTCCATATGTAACTGCTCTTTACAAAGAAATTCTTCGTTATTACACAGTTATTCCAATGAGTCTTCCTCGACGAAGTATCAGTGATATTAGTTATAATGGAGTGATTATTCCTGCTGGAACATTATTTTATATGAATGCATTTGCTGGTGATTATGATGAAAATCATTTTATAGATCCTTATACTTTCAATCCTGAACGATATTTAGGTGATGTTGATGGTACACCGCATTTTGCTTATGGAGCTGGAAGTAGAATGTGTGCTGGGTCTCATCTGGCCAATCGAGAACTTTTTACATTCTTTATTCGACTTATTTCAGCATTTCGAATTCTTGAACCTAATGATTCAAAATACGCTGCCATAGTAGATGCAATGGAAGCCACCAAATGTCATACAAGTCTTGTTGCAGAACCGAAGTCGTTTAAATGTCGTTTTGAACCAAGAAATAGAAAACTGCTCGAATCATGGTTAGAAACAAGTAGACAACGAGCAGAGAATGATGAATATTCAATAAGAGACTAATGAGAGAAACTGCTTAACTGATCAATTGCTTTTGAATCAGGATTAAGTGCATCATTTAGATCCACATGAATTATGAATACTCTAAAAAAAACAGTTCGTGCGTTTAGCTTATTGGCACAGAGATACTCCATTTCAACAGTATTTTTTAAGTCAATACCGTAGTCCTCTTAAGTAACAGTAGAAAAATTGAATTTTGTATTTCGACTTGAGATTTTGCACAGAGATGAACCTTATCAAGAAGAATTTATTGTGATAATTTAAAATATGGTCATTGTTTTTAGTCTGAGATATGGTTATGGTAAAAGCGTGTCTTTTACACCACACATATATACTGACAGATTCGATGTCCTTATTTCACAATAGGAATAAAGCAAATGATCTGAAAATTTTTATAATAAAATTTACTCATCAAGACTTGTCTTTGAGCAAAGTTTCAAGTAGAAATTCGAAAAGCCCGTTTTCCTAGTGTTCTTGACAAGAATCGTGATACTGACTTCAAAAATATGGTTCAAATGCAATATCTTCATAGTAATAAACTAAGGATTCAAACTCTTTTCAGGTTATTTCAAAACTTATTAGAGTATATATGATGCACATTGTCCCGACTTAACGGCAATTAGTCAGTTAGAGAATTTCCCCTTGTTAGACAAATTTTTATTCCATTTAGTTTTCATATTATCCTTAATACGTATATGTCACTACCGAGAATACTCTCACTCAATTCATATGATAATTTTGTTCGAATTAATGTGCTTCTTATATGTAACTGTATACGAATCAATTTTTGAATTTCCAGTTGCATGTCTTTGATCTATTATTATGTCTTTTTTCTTATTAACCATTAAAAGAGCTTTTGAATTCTTTGAATGAAAAATCTCGTGCATTATACCTATCACGAACATCAATAATGGTCGCAAAATAAAAAATCGATTATACTCTTTTAAAAATTTCATTTTTTTGAAAGAATTTCGGTTTTCAATGTTATGTATTTGTTTGTCCTAATAAATTAAGAGCAAAAAGTATTGTTTTACGGTTATCTAAGGAGAATATAAAGTGTCATAGAAAGCATAAACCATTTTTGTGATATCCTCTCTGCGCTTTTAGAATTCAGGTTTTAGTCAAATTTTTTTTGCAATAGATATGGCTAGGAAAAGCCTATTTAGATAGAAATATTTTTGTTCTAAAAACATTCCAGCGTAACTAGAGGTAAATATCAGATTCATTAGATATGAAATCTGTTCTCAAATGGTATTTTCTCCCCAAAAATAAACAAACGGTCTCTCCCTCTCTCATATCACATCGTGTTGCGGATTATGCAACGGAAGTTTATCAATATTTTCTACATATTGTTATAATCATTGAAATGCTTTATCTATGGTATATAATTGATCATAATTAGAACTAATTCAAGTGACGAAAGAATCGATTTACTTAGTATGATATATTGCTTTAGGAAAAAATACGCCATCTTACTATTGTACGGATATTTTAATAATCTTAGCAAAGTGGCAACCAATAATTATCAAAATTTATATCTACTTAACTTTCCAATATCTAGAACTACAGTTTGAAAATTTTAAGTTATCACACTCTTTAGTGATCGAATTATTCCATTTTTAGAAAACATCAAAAAATAGAGATAATGATTTCGTTCCTACATAGATTTCACATTTTGTTTAATTTCCTTTTTCTTTTAACTGACGGTAGAATGTTTTCAAAACAAACACATTATTATTTAGTAGATTGTTTCCAGCTTTATATGTTGTAAAAAGAATTGATCCAAAGAGTCAATGTTATGCACCTAGGAATTATATTTTCTAAGCAGTTAGGTTTTTTTGAACCACACTGTATAAATACGTAAAAAAATAGGATCCTTCAAACAGAAACCTAGATACTTTTTTGAATGATTTAGCGAAGGCAAAAGGACAACAATAAAAAATGTTGACAAAATTTCTGTAGAAAAACCAATAGCATTGTGCATATACACTGTACTTCATTAGACAAATGTGATATGTTCAAAACTGTATTTATTTATTAGTGGCGTATTCAGAAAATCATAGATGATAGGGCAGTGTCCACCGTGCTTAAAAACTCTCTCCACTTTCGTTAAAATTTCTTTCAGTATAAATAAATTTATTCAATTGCCTAGTTCGTAGTGAGTGACACAAAACAGTATATCTGTTCTTTTATTAAATGAAATTAAATTAACAAAAGAAAGAAAAAAAAAGAAAAATAACAAAAACTAATCGTTTCAACACGATTCGACTGCTCTTGTGCTGAATTGAGAAAGCACCAATTATCTTTTCATAATCAACAATAATCTCTCTCTTTCTCTCGATGCCTAATAATGACAAAGCACTCGATCTGATATCGGACATACTATTAATTATGTGCAGTCGTTTTGATAAGTTCCTTCTTTTGGTGAAAGCAGTATATGTTCTTTTTGAACTCTAATAGAGTTTGTATCACAATGATATGCGTATGGATGGCGAATGAAACATCCAACTGTCCAAAAAGGCTTTTGCTCGAGTAACTACTCTTTTATTTCAGCATGACGGCGTGAGAGCCTCTAACGCCACTCCCCTTCCGCTCCCACATTGGACAACTAGGCGACAAAATCGATTTTTGAAATTTGAGCCTATAGCATAACTAGCATCAAAGCTGCTATGGTACTGCATTTAAGTGTATCTTGGACGCTGCTTGATAGTGAGTGTCTGCCAAGCAAACAGGTTCCACAAAGTACATAAAATAGGTGAATATTAGTAAAATGCATGTTTTAAATTGAGGATCTACTTATATTCATTAGTTATTATATAGTTATACAGTTTCATGTATTTACTATGTATTACAGGTCATTTGGACTTCTTGACGTTCTTTGGACTGTAATAAAATCAAAAACTTACACTCAGTATAGGAAAAAAAATAAGCACTGATCAATAATACAATTATTTACTCAGATTTTTTCGAAAACTTCAATTCAAGTTTTAATTCGTTATTTAGTAGAGCATGTCATCATCTATCTTCAGTGGATGCACAAAGATACACACTTAAAACCTTGTTGAGATATTGAGTGTCAAATGTAGCGTTCTATCAAAATTTGTTGACAATTTTTATACAATGATCACTCAAATTTCTAGGCCATCAAGATTCGAATATATAAATAAGCAGCAAACATAAACCAACTTCTGATTTCATACTGATCGTTTCATTTTAAAATCGGCTCTTTAACTCTATCTTAGCAATTAAATATATGAAAAAATCATGCAGATATTCCTTTGTAAGACGTATACCCTCGAACAAAAATCTTTCTCCTCTTTATCTTTTTACGATGTCAAACTTTGTATTAAATTTATTACTGAGTAGAGATATGACATGAAAGTGTTATTTCATTTGGCTGTACAGATCACACTGTAACAAAATTCTCTTGTCATATGTTTACTAAGTAATAAATTTGATGCAAAGAATGGCAGTATAAAAAGACATAAGGGAAAAGACTTTTGTCCGACGGTGTAATATGTTGTATTTCATGCTTTTATAATTTTTCCGTTCGTAGAAATACTCCGAGCTGCACGATCTTTCCAAATTTCATCCGAAACAGATAATGTTATTAGTAGAAGTGAATAGTTTTTGTAGTAAGAACTAACAAAGATTGCAACACATACTGTGAGTATCGAGAAATTTAGGTTGTAAATAGAACTTTAGAAAATATGAAATAATTGGAAGCTTATTTTAATACGTTTCAGGACATATTACAAAATGATTTCAAACTTCGCATAACATTTATAAAAATTTTCTACAACGCACCAGAGAGACGTTGCTGAAACTCGCGAAATACTATAAACTGGCCCCAAGTATTTCTATCATTTCATTTTTTTGTGATAAACTTCATAGCATCAGGAAGCTCATTTACATGTCACAACTAGACTTGCATTATATCTGAACATTTGAATTTAATGAATCTTCTTCAATATTTGTTGACTCGAGTTTGAGCCCTTTTTTCCATTCATATGTGCACATTTTCAAAAAATTATCTGGTGCATAAATAAAAATTTTAAAAAAGGAACTGTATCTACTATGCAAGCTTTTACCTAATTTAACTCTTAATTGAGTTTAAGTGTTATTTGTAACAAACGTCGACCAATCAGATCATAAACGACGAGTATCATCAAAAAAATACAACTGTGAAATCAATCCTCATTAGAATTTACATGACTTTGTAAAAATTTTAGATTAATAAGTATATTTTAGTTTGTCACTCTTATATGTAAGACTTCAGTTCTTCTGACTTGTATGCATTGGCCGCTTACTGAACTTTTTATGATTTGCTATAAAGAGAATTTTTCCAAGTAATAAACTACTAGAACACATTTTTTTCTAAAGATTTGTGACGTATACGTATATTAGTGTCCCACTTTAACCAAACTATGAGCTTTCTGTTAAAAACTTAAGATTTGCATTTAGACAGTTCGCACATTAAGATAAATATCGAATGAATGCTATAAAATGAGGTCTAATTTGCACCCTAATAATTTTTATCTGCAAGGATTCCAAAGATGGAAACAATTGATTGATGATAACCTGCGTCAGTTCCTTAGAGAATAATTAGTGCATGGCAGATTTATATAATACATAATTAATAACCGTATCAAGTATATGAGAAAACATTATAATGTGCTATTCGCAGTCTTCAAAAGCCGAAAACTTCATTTTCCAGGAATCTTTCGCATGTGGAAGGTTATGTAAACGCAGATAATCATTATGAAGAGCCTGCTATATGTACACAAAATATTATGTTAATAGCTGCAATCATTAAAACAATTGCTCCTGATCCTTTTTCCTGTTGACAGTAGCTTCTCTCCTTTTTCCTGCCATAAGAGTCGCGATCAATGTTTGTTTCTGTATACATGGCAAACTCTAAAAAAATGATACTATAGCAAACCTATATTGCAACGAAGTCGAAACCTTTTAAGGTTTCTTACGGACTTAAAACACCTTCAAAAAGGCTTGTCAGAGGCCTGGAATACTTTTTCAAGGCTTCGCATATTTCCTACGAAACTTTCGCTGGTGCCGTACGACACCTTTTTTTCAGTGAAGTCTGTCATAAATTTACAGCTCAGAAAAAAATTTAAACCCAGTACATAAATTTTGAAATACTGGTATCTTGGTTATCTAGTATTTGGATAGACAACACTGGCTCGAATAATTTGATTCAAATACCATTATTACATGTCGAACTTTACATTAAAAATTTTGGCTTTTTAACTACAGTATTGCCGATTAAATGCTGCAAATTTTACTTAATTTTCGAAAGCAAATTAGACTTCGACTTCCCCTATACAACCTGTACTAACAATCAGAGATCGAAAATGAACCGAGTCCGAACAGGCTTTTTGCAATATACTCGAACTAAATTCAACGCAGCAAAACTCGGTTCGATTTGGCCTCTGCTACCAATGGACCATCTACGCTTTTTGTATTATTACTATTCTAAACTCATAATAGATGTAAATAATTGCTGATCGTGAATCATATACCCACCCTTCTATTTCGAACAGGAATTTTTTTTTCAAGTAAAACTCTATTAGAGCTGAAAGGCACAATCATCCCTTGCCAACTGAATTTCTAGAGCTATATAATATGGTAGAACTAAAGTGATAAACATTTCAAGATAATTATTAAGTTTTCCTTCTTGTCGGTGGCAGAGCAGCACTCTCTCCAGCCACCTCTAGATATACCACTAATCTCTAGCCTGACAGATAGGCAGACAGAGTAGATAGTCAAGTCAAATGAATCGAGTCTCGATGTGTGCGCACGTTTCTTATTAGTATAAAAATTCCAATACATATAGATGTCGGGTTTGATTTATCAAAAATATATTAAGTAGCTAATCGTAGTTTTTCTTTGAATATAACTTCCTAATCGATTGCTTCTATTGAAATGTAAAGATTAATAATAAATAAATATTTTCTGGTGAATTCTCTTGAAATTTGTTTATCGATGATATAGATACGTATTTCCATAGAAACAAACTCGATAATGTCCGTTCTTTTAAAAACCGAATGTGACTGAAGTGAGAAAAGAAAGAAAAGCAAAAGAATTGAATAACATTGTTGTTGAACAAGTTAACTTGTTTATAAAATAAAAACTCAACGTTTGACATCGTTTTGAAGACCCTCACAAATATAAATAAAAAATTGTCTATATTAAAATAAAGTATTTTATATTTCAGATATATTCAAAAAGTATCTCATCTAACATTGAATCATCGCTCACGTAAGAAATTATATATGAATATGAATTGTTTTTCAAGTGATTGAGACGACAAGAATGTCATAACATACAAATTTGCATATTAAAATGTATTTTTTCTCCTTCAACAGTCAATCACTTGATTATGCATTAGAAAATCTTTCTCTTTTGCTCTAAACAACACATAGAAAATAATTTTAGAACATTTGATGAATTTTATTAGATTTGTATACATGTGCGATATTAATTATGAAAATCTTAAATGCTGTTTTCAGTAGACTCATTCATGTCAATCATTCCTTCAAAACAATTATCAAAAGTTTGCTTAACAATTCAATTATATTTCAATAGAATTCGAAAATAATATCTCAAAAAAAAAAAAAAAAACGTTTTATATATTTTGATAAAATATATTTTAACTCAAGCCTATAAGAGAAAGATAATTGAATCTAAAAAAAATATATTTTAATCATAGAAACTACAAAAAAGAATGTCTAAACAATTCTTTTTTTAGTAAGGTACCAGTAACTCAAAGATTAACGAAAGAAGAGAATATCAATTACGATATTTTTACATGATTTATTAGAACTCAATGGGTTCTACAAGAATATGTATGTAAAAATTTTTTTAAAGAGCTAATTGGGTTGGAAAAGCTCTACAGAAACGCATTAGCGCCAATAGCATCAAATCTCACTAGCTTGAAGATTTATGAAGCTTGTTTTTCTCTTTTTTATTCAGTATAAGGAAAAAAGAGGTACGCATTCTTTTCATTTTACATTTGCGCACTGTTAAGAAAATCTACTACTTTCATACCGCTAGCGAAATAGTTACAAAATATGGTTGTATTTCGAGATTTTGCTCATCAATCATTAGTTTTCACGCAAAATAAATATGAGTTTTGAGATCGTCACTGAAAACTGCATTGTAAAGTTTAGCTTTTATCAAAATAAATCAGGTGTCAAAACTCGATCCATAAAAGACAAAAGAGTAAAATTGATTGACAATAGCTTATGAGGATACATGCTGAGTTTAGACAGGCAATGTTTTTTTTTGATAAAATTTAAGTTACAAAAATGCAATTGTTTATGTTAAACGAAAACAATTGTATTTGTTGTGCATAAAAAATCATCTTTGACAAGTAAAATTTTGAAAATGTGACCATATTTTGTGATTATTTCGTAAGCGATTTGAAAGAAGTAGACTTTCTAAACAACGCTCAAACATAAAACAAAAAGAATACATAACTTTTTTTCAAACCTCATACTGAGTAATAAGAAGAAAAATAATATTTCGTAAATCTTCAAGCTAGCAAGAATTTATGCGTTTGGTGCTGATACGTTTGTGTAAAGCTTTTCAGTTCTTTTCATCCTTAAAAAGATTCTCATATATACATCCTTGTAGAGTTCGTCGAATTCCATCGAACTATATAAAACTATTGCTAATAGGTTTTTTCTTACGAGAGAACTTTTCGAACTGATACCCACCGTGTGATCTCATATGGAGGATTTACAAAGAGGACTCCGTTAGACTCAAAAAAGGCGAACAGAGTTCGTCTCTATGGATCCTTGGGCATGGGATATGCTTGTTATATTGAATTTTTCACCCAATTTTAGGTACTTACTAAAAAATTAAATAAGCGCATTTCGGTCTTCAATTTTTCTCATCAATGAATCGAACGACTAGTAGAACATCTTGAAAGTTTCAGACGAAAACAATGTTCTGCTGTCGACACATTGAATTTTGAAGAAAACTGAACTTTTGTGATACATCTGTAGTAAAAGACCATTTTTTTGGAAATTTAATATCCCGATTAAGGCATATTCTTTTCGCCTGAAATTTTCAGTATATTTAATGAGTGATTGAATTTATCTATGAGCGATATTTCATGTAGAAACACTATTTTTTTATCTTTTCCTGGATACCAAAAGCTGAATCGAAAATTCAGTAAAACGGTCATAACAACTTGGCACTAATGACCCATAGAGATAAGCTCTTTTAGATTTTTGATAGTTTTAGCAATGCTGTTTTTGTAGGTACAATATGAGCTGAAACAAAAAGTATCAGTTCGGGTAGTCCTCTCGTCAGTCGAGTTTTGAATTATTTGCATTAGACACTAATTGTACTCCATGTTACTTTAGATTAGATAAAAATGTTAGTTTTCACAAGTACCTTTAAATAGTCGAAGTTTCCATAACTTCTATTGATTAACATCAACATATCTAAATATACAATAAGAGAAAAGCATTTTTTTTTTTCTGTAAAATTGATCATATGTTAGCTGACAAAATATGTTACTCATTTGCTGAAAAAACTTTAGGCTATACTTAATTTTTTTCTCGTAGGAAAAAATCGCTTTTTACCTATTTTATTTTTCTTATCTGCTTACAAGTGAATATATTCGAATGTTTCCATCAGTGCATTTACGACTTGATTCTGTTTGACAAACAAACTTTCTATTGGAATATGCATAGTAACGAAATTGAAAAAAGGAGTAGTTCTGAATTAATTTGATTTTTTTATTGAGTATTGTATGAAGCCATATTTCATTCTTTTGTCTGACACGCACATTCATAAAACATAGAAGAAGAGAAAAAGATGAAATCATCTTCATCTCGAGATGTAGATCTTTTATTCTTTGCTTTACATCAAGCTAATATACAATGTTCAGAGAAAAGTGGTACGAGGTATGTTTAAAAATCATTAAGATAATATTTATGTGAATTATTTTTATTTAAATGAATTGTTTTCTTATCTGTTTCAAGATATCAAATGAGTCGTGGTCTTTATTTTTACGACCAATTTACTCGTGTATCTCATGTTGGTGGTATACATCGATATAAACGACATCCAGAAGAATTAAATCAAGCCTTACATCATGTTCGAGTTGCTTTAGCTGCTGAAGATGATCAACCAGCTAAAGCAGAAACAACACCAACAACAACAATCAATCCTACACCATCTCCTGTTAAACAACAGCTTGGTAAACAGACAAATGATCTTCTTTTAAGAACAATTCAAAGAAAATTAAAAGCACCAATTGTTCCTGACTTATTATTCAAAGATTTAGATACATTATTTCAAAGATTTGATGATAAATCTAAAACAGCTGTATCATCATCAACATCAAAACTTCCATCATCAATAGCTCCAAAATCTGCTCCATCTACTCTTCCTGATAGCGAACAAGAACTCGATGCAATGCCAATTCAAGAAGCTGATGATGAAGATGAATTAATAGCTGCAACAGCAAATGCACCTAAAATCTCTTTACCAGGCTCATTAATTATTGGATTACATTCAACATGGTCTGATCTTATCGAAAATACTGAATATAAATATAAAGTTATTTTAAAATATTTTTTTTTTTAATTATCAAAAATCTTTTTCTTTTTTGTCTTTTTCTTTTTTTAAAGACTTGGCAAACAAAAGCTGGTGAAGATAATTGGCGTCGTTATGTTGAACGAAAACGTATAGAACAACTCAACGCTGAAAAACATCGAACAACTGCTGCTAGTAAACAAGCCAATTATCGTCAAGGAACTTCGCGTACAGGTCAAACTTCTTTTACAAATCTTTCTCGTCAGCAACAATCGTCAACATTAAATCCTCAAATGCGTTCAAATCGTTCATTATCTCGTGTATCATTTATAAGTACAAATACAGCTACACAATTAGATCATGCTAAATTCCTTAAACCAATTCATCAAGGAAGTTTAGAAAGTCTAACGGAATCACTTAAAAGTGGAATTCATGTTGAATTTAAATTATCAACACAAATCGATCAAACAAAACAACAACAACAATCACAAATTCAAGCATTAAACGAACAAAAAGGTTTAAATATTTTTATTTGAATTTTTTAAAAATCAATTTTTTCTTTTTAAATATCTTTTAGGTGTCATGTTTGATGTACCTAAACCCATCGTTGATGTACATGAAGATATTATTGCATTAACTCAAACAAGATGTAAACGTCTTTTAGCTGAAACAAAACAAAAAATGTTTGTTTACAAATTTTTAAACGATTTATCTTTGTAATTTTTATTTATTTATTGTAAATAGACTTGCAACAGTGCCAGATTCAAATATTCAAAATCCAAAAATATGTAAAGTTTGGTACTATGGTGAAAATCATCTTGCTAGAACTAAAAGCAATTTATTAACTTTAAATGAATTAGCTCGTCAGTTATTTCATAATGAACAAATAAATAAAAGATTTTGTTTTATTGATATTTTTATTATAGGACGGCAAAAATCAAAATTTATTTTTTCAATCTTACGAAGAGAAATCCCTGAAAAATATAATATTGATATTGAAATACCAGAAATAAAAAGTAAATGTTATTTGGAATTGACTGATGGTTCAAGTCAAATTTAGTAAGTCAACAAACAATATTCTCCTTCAATATTCAAATTAAAGTCAACTAAAATTCAATTCGATTTTCTTTATATATATAGGATGTGGATAATTTGAAATTTCAGCAAAGTTTTGTTTTTGTCAAGGTTACATAGAATTGATCGAATTATCTCTAAAATGTTTCTTTCAACATATTAGAATATTCTTTTTATAGTGAAACTTAGGAAACTTAGGTTAAAAAACATTAGAGAAGCCTATAAAAACTGAAATACGCCAAAAACATCAAGTCTCGATAGTCTCAATATTTATCCGATATTTTTTTTTTGATTTAACTCTTCATATAGTTAGGAGAATAATGTTGTTTGATTATTGAGAAAAATCGATGCGTTTCGACATGATAGCAAAACATCATAAATACTCGTTTGCATTCAGAAATTTTGACCATCAGAACTACAGTTCGGAATGAAACGGATATCACATTGAAAATCAACAGAAAAATCTATATCAAATAAAATACTGACTACTTAAAAGAAGTTTTCGTCAAATTACGGTCCTTACACCCCTTCATTGTTATTTTCGAAGACTATGACCTGCAATTCTCCCAAGTTCGAAATTCGACGAAAATTAGCTTTGATAATTGAGTATACTATGTGGTACAGGTTCTTACTCTGATTCTCAATATGACATTCATTCATTTGCAAATGAAGTTTTGATGGTAAAGATCTCTAGATAGAAACTCGTATTTATTATTGTGTTGCTATCTTATTGCAAAAGTTGATTTTCTCAACAGTCAAACAATGTTTTCGAAAATGCACACATATTTTTTTTCTAACCATATGATGCATCAAATACTCAGGATATTCCGATAAATATTGAGAGTATCGAGACTTGATGCTTTTGAAGTGTTTCAATTTTTTTATGAACTTTTCTGATTTTTTTTTTTTCAATATAATTTTCCTAAGTTTCATTACAAAAAAACATCATTCAAATATGTCGAAAACAACATTTTTATAGGAACCTTTACAAACTCTATCCAACGATGACAAAAAAATGCCAAAAAAAACATTGCTGAATTTCGAGTTGCTAACATCTTATATGCATGTATATAAATAGAAATAGAGACAATTCTTATGCGATTTAATTAAAACACAAGTGGAGATATGTTTTTTTTCAATTCTGCCATGTGTAAATATAGATGGCAATTCTAAAAAAATCAACAATTATTCGAGATATGAATCAACCAAAGTTATTGCTAAAATGAATAGTCTTTCTCGTTAGCATGAAAAAAGTCTTGCATTAGTGTTAATTGTTGTCCACTACAATGGATGCGCTCTAAGGGAAGCAACTTTTCCTAGGAAGAATTAATAGGAATGTGAAGTTAAATTGGATAATAATAACATGTTTCTTAATTAAAGACAAATCAACATAATTGATAAAAGAAATAGAAATGAAAGAAAATGCTGAGAACAGAATGATGAAAGTTAATTGTTTCTCCAATCTTGTAGCAAACTTTGTATATTTAATGATGATTATTAAATGTATTATATAGTAAATTTTTTTATGAAACATAATTAAGATTAAATTGATTGACATTATTTAAATGTTTTTCAATTACTTTTTAAAATATTTTTAGTAAAAATGGTGATCTTCTGATACTATTGACAACTGTTCTATAGGAACAATCATATTTATTTTTCGAGTTTCGAAATCTTTTGGTAATTCTTAATCAAAAAGAATATATATATATATATCACTGTGGTACATTAGAGTGTTATCAGTTGATATTTAGTACAACACATGAATTCATCTTTTGTTAATTCTAAGTCAATCACTTATTTATTCTTTGATACACAAATAAAATTAATTTTAGAAATTAAAAATTTAATAAAATATCTAATCCATAAAAATAAGCAAAAAAGTTAATTCGATGAGAAACTTTTATAATACTTTATAAGAAAAATTTAAAATTTTGTTTAGTTATCCATCTGGTCGTTTGGCTGTATTACGTATTCATTCACCTAATTCAATGGTACTCTTTTTTGATGATACGGATGTTCCAGAAAATGCATTTCTCGGTCTTGTTACATCTAATGGTAGTGTTATTATAATGCAACCAACACTTCATGCTCGTTTTATAGCTGATAGTCAACATGAACGTGGTTATTTATGTAACGGTAAAACAGGTATAATTGATAAACAACTTCAATGGCATTCCAATAGTCTTGTAACACAATCGACTTTATCAAATGAACCTACAACAAATGATGAAGATGATATTCTTCCAGCATTACTTGAAAGTACTGTTCAATTACAATTAAATCCTTTTATGCAACTTGAATATCAAAATCAAACAAATATACGTTTTGCATTTGCATGTCAAAAAGAAGAATTTAAATTTCAATTAGGAGTTCATCTATCAACACAATCAACAACATCAGCTGAATTAACAAAAAAAAATCTTTTAGATAAAAAATTTCAATCAAAATCAAAATTATCAACAATTCTATCAAGTTCAATAAATTCAAATCAAACATCAAATATTTCAGAAAAACAACAAATTCAAGTCGAAAGATTATTAGATGGACAAGTTAATGTTAAAGAATTACCGATGATTAAAGAATTAAATAATTTAAGAAAACGTATTAGAAATATATGTAATGATTGGCTTAAATCATGTCGAACAACATTAGGTAAAACAAAAATTTTAATTTTCTTTTTTGATATTAAGTATTTTTAATTTCGAATATTTCTTCATTTTATTTTCTATTTCATCTTAGACGAATTAAATATATTTGAAATTAAATAATTATGTTTGTAATAGATATAATTAATTTAACTTTACAGAAAATGACAAAACAAAACATTGATTTTATTATTTATTTTTCTATAATAAAAATAATTTTTTATCCCTAAGCTTTTTCCTTTGAACCCATCATAATACTTTTTTTATTATTTATCTTAATATTTTAATTATTAAACATTATATTATTATTATTATTATTATTATTTTTAGGTGTCATGGATATTGATTCATATTGTCTACCTGATTGGCCATCAGCATCAAATCAATTAATTGCTCCAATTATAAAATCTCAAAGTAAAAGCGCAAAACAACCTAGACATGTAACAATATTAGCAAGAAATGATTCAGCAAATAATGAATTTCTTCAACCAAGTGAAAGAGAACAAATTGTACGAACACATTCAGCAAAAAAATCTGAACGTAAAGTTTATATCTATTTTAAAGAGAATTTATTTATTTAATTTGTTTCATTTTTTAGCAAATCTTATTGCAGATACAATTATGCAATTTATACCCCGTTCGGATAGTGGAAGAAGTATGAAACAAAAATTTTATGCAAAGAAAAATCGTTTATCAACAACTCTGCCAGCTATTAAGTAAATATTCTAAGAAAAAGATATTTATCATATTACATTCAATGAGTAATCTTGAAAATTAATCGACTATATTATTTAAAGATGGAGAAAACATCGATTAAATCATTCAGATTTCTATAAACAAAAATTTTCAACTATCTTCAAAATAGAGATCTGTAAGAAGAAACGTGATCATAGAACTCTTTTTCAGATCCACGAACAACTCATAGGAAGAAGACCGAAATGAAAAATATAAAGGTCTAGAATATGAGTTCTTTATTTATTAACGTCACAAAAAATCCAATGAAGGACGCATTTCTTTGCTATTGTTCCATAGGATTCCACTGAATATATAATTAGCAATTCGATATATTAGTTCATATAGAAGAAAAACTTATCAACACAGCTCATCTAAGGCTAAAATGCAAAATTCACATGTTTTCTTTAGCCTTACTATACTAATAAAAAATATATGCATGTTAAAACTCTCTCGTAGACTATAGTTGTTGTCCAAGAACAATCGATGGCAAGGAAAACAATCTGTCCTATTCGTTTCTGCATTTCGAACAGAAATTTTTGCTTTTTTTTGTCTAACTTATATATTTTCGAAGAAAAAAAATGAGTGTAAATTTAAATCGAGGTGTTTGCTGCTCTCTTCCCTCCTCCAGTCCTAGCAACGAGAAAAGATGCATCGATGAGAACAATTTTTAGATCATTCTGAAACTTTCGAGTATCTTCTAAAGCATTCTGTGAATTGAAGATTCCTACTTTAGATGCTCACCAGTCTAAATATTGTGAATTTCGGCATTTAATGCGACGAAAAGTTCTTATTGAAAGTGTCAGTTAATAGGGTAATGGTATCATTAATCTAGCAGAGTCAGGATATGACGGATATAGAAAGATACGAACTAATTGAATTCTAAGTTTAGGCAAAACTCAACAGTATATGCCAAAGTTCATCGAGAGGAAGGATGGTGTACTCGGAAGCTTACTCAATGAATAAATCTATTAATATGACAAGCTTAATATGGTGGTTTAACCGACGAAACAAAGAATAAAATAATATATACCGCTGTCTATGGCATGTGTCGTATAGATTATCATTTAGAGAAAAGAAGTTATGCATTGAAGATGTATCTGAAAATATAAATATGATTGTTCAGTATAACGCTGTTAAATGAATCTAATAAATGAGTAGAATAGTAATCTTTAATACAAGTATTTTTGAAATAATAAAATTTCAGAACGCACCTATGAGCTATAAAAGTTGTTATAAGTTTGAGTTTTTCATTTATTAGGTATTTTTTTAAATAAATTATTTTAATTCCTCTGGCAATATATCATAAATTTTATAACAGTCAGAGTTTGTGAGTTCCACACTTTGACCCCTTGTGGGATTGCATTGACAAGTCCTTTTTTACTGGCTCTCTAGTTTTTGTTTGCTCTATTACTATTCGCTCGTTATTTTCCATTTTGGTATTCCGCTTTTCTTAATTTAACATTATTAGTATTGAAATCTCTGATTTAATTGGTAAACAAGCCTGTTGAACATATCATAACTGCACTATTTAGAATATTCACAAACGTGTTTCAGTCATTCAAATTTCGAGGAGAACTTTGAAGAATATGAGTCTTATTGTTAATGTCGGCCAGCATCTTTTTTGTCGTTGCGATGGAATCCTGAAAAAAAGAGTATGACAATGTATGAAAAGCTCATATTTTGTATTTATGCATTGTTCTTCTCAACCTTTTCCATATAGTTATTCGTAGATCTAACATTATCTTTTTTAATTGAAGCATTTTTGTAACCATTGATACTCGTAGAATCATCTCGACTAGTTCTATCAGCTGAGACTATAACAAATTGATTTAGGTATATTCGTCAGTAATCACATGTTTTTCAGATGCATCTATAGAACTGAAAGTGTCATAATTCATTTCTATTTCATTCATAATAGTAAATCTTTCAAGAGAGATAAATAATGTATTTCATACAGTTGACAGTTCTCTGCAGAGTTAAAAATTAATAATTAAAATATTTTTTTTTTATTTTGAACAGATCTGAATTAAAAATCTTAAGTTTATGAAATAGTCAATGGCTAGAAAAGTATCTAAAAGACTAGTTAAAAATCTTCACCTACATTGTGTAGTATATAAACATTTGACGATACTTTTCAAATACTTAAAAACATCTTTCACAAAGATTATTAGAGACCAACTCACCTCAAAAAATATTATCATGATATTCTTGATATGGTAAAAATCCGTTTTATATTAGCAGATGATTCTGTCTAACATTGGACTATGTTCATAACATATTATACCAGTAGTTCAATAGGATATTTAGTATTTCTATAGTTTTGTCTTTGAATACTCATAAGAAGGCCGCTTCACTAAAAAAAAAGTAGCTTGCAACGATTATAACAAGACACTTCAAACTGAATAGATTCATTAGATCTTTGAATAATTATGTAAAAGTTTCCATTGGTATGAAGTTGATTTCATGGTTTCGAAAGCATAAAAACATTTTACAATAATATGAAATCTGACCATTTGATAAAGCTATTGAAATATTTTTAAAAATCGATTTAGAACTCATCTAACACTAACGTCAAATGAAGAAAGACCATTTTCTCGTACTGTAATGCCAGGTGATCTTCCATTTTCTTGTCCTAATTTAATTCGTCAACGTCTTATTCAAGATGGTCCAACATCGACAATAGTACATGATACATGTACATGTCGTGCTGATCATATTCCAATTATTCATGATCTTGAATTTGATACATTTATTGAATTAGCAGGTCAAATAAATCCTAAGCAATTAGTTGTAATAGGCATAATAAATTCAAATCTTCGTCAAATTGAATATGATCAAAATCAACAATCAAATGAATTACATGAAATTCTTCAAACATTACATTATCATCTTAATTATGGTCGTAGTCAAATATCTATATGTCGTTTATCCACCAATGATGATTATCGTTGTTTAATATATGATTTAGCCGAAGCAACAAAACATAGTTCATTATATGGACCATTACTTGTTCGACGTCATAATGTTCAACCTGGTTTTGTTCTTATTTATCAACATGGACATGTTATTTTCGGTGATTCGATTTTTAATGGTTATGGAAAAAATCTGCAAGACCTAAAAAAACAATTAAATCGTATGAGACACCAACAAATTGCTTTACCCGAAGAATTCAAATTCATGTTTGTATTTTTTAAATTGAAAAATACATTTGTTTTTTTTCTAATGCTTTTTTATTTATTTAGATCTGATCATCGACGAACAAATCCAACAATTTTGAAATCAGTTTAAAAATTTGTATTTCATTTTTTTTGTACGTTTTTTTAAAGCTTTTAATAAATCTCATTTACCAGGGGTTTTATATATTTCTAAAATTTAATATTTTACTCTTCATTTGGAAATTAAATATTTTTTAATATAGAATCATTTTTTTGTGTCTTAAGTTGAACTGGTAACGAAGACCAAAAAGAAAACTGATTACACGCTTGATATATAGAGACAGTTGAGTGGTTTCATTTCTTCTATGATAATATATTAAGACCTAATGCTGTTATTAAGATTATCGAACGATTTCTTTCTTGGTAATAAAATCTATTTTGAAATCAGAATATATGATCTGAAAAATAGATGATTATGATATTGAAAGAAAAGAATAAAGTAATTTCTTCGAGTGTGTGTCATTTCTTATTAATCTGACAGAAAATTCATTATAATGCCATCATCATTGATTTGCTTTTTTTTCTGTAACATCGAATTAATTGTTAATCACTGAATTCGATTGCTTTAGTATCATTTCAACAATCAAGTATTAGATAAAGCTGATACTCAAGATCTGACATATAATTCACCATTTCACACAAGATTTACTTCTCGAAGGAAAAAACCATACTTGTATTCTTGAATTTAATTTGGGTTACTTTCAACTATGTACTTCAAAATTTCTAAATATAAAAGAAATCGCACATTCTAGATGTTTTCATTATAGTTGTATTTTCTCTGAAAATGAATAGTATGACATAAAAAAAAAACAAGTATTCATCAGTCCCAGTTACCTGAATATGCTGTCGATTAGTCACGGTTGTGATCAGTGCATTTCGATAAAAGAATTCGATATATATCAGAAAGAGAAGCAATACAAACTATAATGTTATATAAATATTTCAATAATTTGTTTAAAACAATGATTGAAATGAAATACATAGATGAATATAAGAGAAAACAACGTATTTCAAGTGGAAAAATATATTGAAGTGCTTTACTGCACTTTACAATACTTCAGTACATTTGAAGTTACTTTTACATGCTTCGATATACTAGTGCATTCTGCCTGTGTAAAAAACATGACCGGAAAAATTAGATTTTAATCGATTTTTTTCTGATTAATAATTGATTAAAATGGCACGATTTTAATCAAATTTTAACCTGATTTCTTGATTTTCAATAAATTTCAATCGACTATTCGACTGTTAATCTATTTTAATTGCTGTGACTAAAAAAACGCGTGTTTCTTCAGTTTCCACTTATAAGCTTGCATTTCTTATTATTTTTTTGACTCCTTGCGTCGACAAATGGTAAGTGTAGTTCTACCCTTGACATATTCCTATATACGACATCGATTCACACTGACTCGCGTGAGCCATAATGCCGATATCTTAGATTAAAATCGATTAAAGATCAAATAATTGATTAAAATCTGATTTTTCCGGTGATTTTTTTACACGGGTTATGTAATTTTTGGCTTGATGTATGCTGTTTTTTTCTAGTATTCACACTATGTGGTACTCAGTTCTGTAAGATGTATGGTACTATGATTATTTCGACTGCATCTTAAGTTGCCGAAAACGACAAAACGAAAATAAAAAATACGATAAAGAGCATCATAGTAAATTCATGGAATCTGAATTATCGTAACTATCTTATAATCTATCAAAGATTTTTCTTATTAAATGTCCAGATGATTACTTATCTCAAGTAATAAGTGATAAAAATTTAATGTCATTTTGACCGAATTCATAAATATCTTGTATTAAAATTTGTTTGCATGTTAAATTGGGAAGCACTTGAATTAATTAATTTTGGATTGTGAATGTGATTGGTTTATTGGTTGGGTGAGGTTGAATAGAAGATTCACATCCACATCCTGCTTTTCACAGTATAATATTTACTAAAGATTATTTTTCTACTGTTTACAGTTGAATTGTGCAGCATGGTTCAACAAAAGCATAATCTTCCGTCAAGGTTGTTCATGAAGGCAATCATTTAGAATCTTTTTTTTAATTGGCCTTTAGCTTCTAACTTAGTTTCTTATGTTTGCAGCAGAAATCTGATTTTAGGTTCATAATCACTATGAAATTTTATATCAGATAGGCTATTTCAGAAGCATTCTAGAACCATCTATAATGAATCCTAGTGATTTTTTAGACCTTATGCATTACACTCAGCATTTTATAAGCCTGTACCCAAGATCTAATTATAGATCTTGGCGCAAGGTAATGTAACTATTTTGTATCTAAATTTTCGAGATCTATTCACGTTCCTGTTCCTTGCATCTTGGCCAAGTTCTTGCTTACAAGACCTCCCACTATGATGTGTGTGCCAAGATTTGATCCAAACAATCATTTACACCTGCTATGAAGTACATTTTCTGTAGATATTAGAGAATAAAATAAGATCTCGTTTTCGTGGTAGTGTGTCAGACAATTATCAAAAACACTGAACCTAAAAATCTGTTTATGGGACCCTATTGAATTAAAATAAGATAGAAATAATACTTGACTTGGACCCTAGAACAATCATAAAGGGTTAACGATCACTTTAAGGAACGTAAAAAAGAAACGTGAGCATATACCAATATTATAGTAGTTGACATTAGAAATAAAAAGTTCTACGCTGATAATTTCATTCTCTATTCTTTCAATTTGATAAAAATCGTCTGCAATTAATCTTTTCTGCTCATCATGTACATTAATATCAAGGATATCTACCATTTACAAATGTAATAACCATGAAAAGCAAAATCATGCGTCAATAACAACAAAATTAAAATCAATAACTGTCAGTCAAGCATAACATGCATTTAATACGACAATCAAACCGTTTTTGATATTTCATATATCAAATATCATAAGAAACACGATCAAGAGAAACTTGTTGATCCGTGAAGTACAAGGTATACAATTAACAGGTAAATGATATACTTTTTCAATTAAAAGAAATAAAAAGAAATGTCACTTTTACACATTTGAAAGAACTAAATGAAAAACAATTCGATATAAATAATTAATATTTTCAAAATAACTACAAGTATAATTAGATATTTTTTGTTGATATATAATATAAAATTAGAGTAGATAATAATAAGAGCAAAGTTTATGAATCACTCTAAGAAAGAAATTTTTATAGAATAAACCTATTAAATATGATTCTAATTATAAATTGTAAATCTCAATTGAATTTTGATTTCGACTTCAAAAATTTAATTTAATGGTATTGTTTTTGTTCTAATTTAGAAAATATACGAAAAGTTTCAGCCTAGGGCAAATGTTTTCTTCATAAAATAACACATTCTCAAATAATGTGCATATGTAAGCGAGAGATTTAGAAAAAAATCTGGTTTTCTTGTAAATTTATTATCTCCAGAAGAAAACATCTATCCTAGTTGACATTTTCCGTGTATGATAGGAAGTCGTAAGACGTCTCTATGGGAAAAATTTCAGATCAGAATTTTAGCATGATTTTCTTCTGGATGTATTATGCGCTAAGTCAAAACCTCAGAAAACGGTTGTAACTTAGGAAAAAAGTAACAACAAGATAAAGCATTATAGATTTTGTTTACTCTACTTAAACTTTACTTAATGACACAAATCTCATCCTCAACGCTTTTTATCATCTGAAAAAGATTACTCGTTAGGTGAATCTGTTAACTTTTGTATGAATGTATAAGTGAAAATATACATGTAATTCTTTAATAATTTAGTTCTTTACTAAGCCAACAATATTATATGGAGAATTTTCTTTTATAATTAGATTTTTTTTCAGTTATCTTATAATATTTTACTACTTCTTCAATTTTCTTCGTGCTAGATTAAAATAAATTTTATGACTACTAAATCTTCATCGGTCAAACAACATCATAGAGATGAACTCGTTATAATATCAAAGATATCTCGTCAGAAAACTCAATGGGACAACATTGATAAACTGGAAAAGTTCAACATAGTTTCCAACCAACAGTATGTATCTTTATTAATATTATTTATTTGATTCAAATCAACATTTCTTCTTTGATAAAACAAAAACAGACTTTCCTCATACGGAACACAACCTCCCATGTGTGTTTGTTTGTTTGGAATATTCATCAGCATAGCAATTATTGTTGGAGTATTAATAGTTTGTTTGACTTCACCCAAACCAAGTATGTTTCTGATTTGTTATTTTGATAAATTATATGATTATTGAGATGTCTATTAAATTTGAAAAAATAGATTCTTCGTCTCAAATATATTTATTATAAATAAAAATCATTTTTAGTATAAGTCAAAATTTACATGGACTGTTCATTGAATTAGAAAAATATGAGAAGATTCATTTCATGAGCTTTTTATATGACAATGAATATCACCATTGAATTTTATTCTCAAGACATCATCTATGATCTTGAACAATTTTAAGGAATTCACTTAACAAATCTGTTTTGCTTGCAAAAATAAATCAAAGTTGAGTTTCTCTTATAGGAAGATGTATCGAATGTTACCTCTCTCAGAATATGCATGTTTTTTCGAAGAAAATATAACTATTACTTTCTTATTTCTGCTATAATTTTTGTTTTTAATCTTTCAATTTGGGACACATGTGGTACTCTTACGTTTTGTAAGTTCGATTTTTTTGCATTAAAGTTAATAGAGTTAATGTTTAGTTCAATAGCTTTCATTGCTTTTTCGCCTGTAAATTTTCTCTTTGTTATTGTATGAACGCAAATGAATAGTTCTACACGGTGCACCCATCCTTGCCCTCAGTCAGTATTGTGCGTTGTTGAATTGTATATGTATGTATCGTGTAGAAGAACCAAATTTTCATGTAAAAGTACGGAAAATATGCAAAAACAGATATTTAAATTTTATCACAATTTACTCACCCTGTGAAAGAAAGTTTCAGCTAGCTTTGAATAAAAGCAATCGAGAAAAAGGGATAAAAGTTCAATGGATACAAATATGTTCAAAATAACTAGGATTAATATAAAGATAGCTAGATTAGTTATTTATCAAAAAGGTTACCGAGTGACAAAAAAAATAAAATACTCGAAGACAAAAAATAATCATCACCTAATACACTAAACTGTTTCAGGAAAAATGACTGGGAAAATAATGGTTTTCTTCTCAGTAATACTGATTGCTTGAGTTTTAAACTACTATGCTGATTTGTCATATTTAGTGTCCGTACTGTGCTACGCGCACCGTCCGTGTCGCGTGACACTCACAAAGCCGCACTAGCGTCATGTGTGCTGCAGAACACCGCACCGGTGTTAACATTGGCGAAACTTATGTGCCATAGATGACGCTAGATCACGTCATCTATGACCTGCTTTTGAATACTTTACTTAAATATATTATGAATTTGCCATTTTAATGTTTTTTCTGAATTTCAATGACAACCTCAATGTCAAAATTTATTTACCGTTTTTATCAGAACATGATTTTCCATAAGGCAAACGGAAAGTTCTCTCACTCGATTCAAGATATAACCGCAGTTGTCTTTGCTTTAAAGGTTTAAATGAGAGTAAATCTTTGTTCGAACAGGTTTTTTTACAGTAGATTGTTCTGTGGAAAAAACTGAGATTTAACGTTGTTAAGTCATCTTTTCTCTGTCTATTTTAAGACGATATGTACTCTAGTGATCATAAAGAATGACGGCAAGCGAATTTTAAATTTTCTATTCGCAAAAAACTGCTCAAATAGGGTAACTCATTTCTGAAAGTTTCAGTCCATATTGATCATTGTAAGTAGTGAATCTATTTTGAGGAAGAGAACCCTAAATAAATCAAGAAAATATTTGTGCATTTTCAATTAACTCTCAAATGGAATCATCTGTTCTTTCAAATGAAAGATCGAAATAATCATAGAATATATTTTTTCCTATATACTAGCATCAACGTTTTTATGTTGCTCGTTGTCATCTAACATTTCCATTAATGAAACAATATAATTGATAAACAGATGAAGATCGATTATGTACGCTTAATTCATTAAAATTTGGTGTATTTTTAGAGGAAGCGTGTGAATTTAACTTTAAACGAATGATGAAAAGTTCAATTGTCTCTAGTTCACAACCACGATCTGTCGCTGTCAGTGATTTTAACAATGATTATCAAATGGATATTGTTGTAGCCAATTCTGGTACAAATACAATTGGAATATTTCTTTTACAAGATAATGAAACTTTTACAAATCAACAAATATATCCAACTGGATTCGATTCACGCCCTTATTCACTTGTTGTTAATGATTTCAATAATGACAATTATTTAGATATTGCTGTTGCTAATTATGGTACCAATAATATTGGAATATTTTTAGGAAATCAAAATGGAACGTTTGCTAATCAGAAAGTATTTTCACTTAATTCTTCTCGTCCATTTTTTATTACTATTGGTGATTTGAATAATGATAATCAAACGGATATTGTTGTAGCTAACTATGATACTAATAATGTTGGTATCCTTCTTGGAAATGGTGATGGATCTTTTCAAGATCAAACAACTTATCCTACTGGTTATGATTCTCATCCATGTGCATTAGTGGTTGGTGATTTCAACAAAGATAATCAACTAGATATTGCTGTAGCTAATTATGGTACTGACAATATTGGTATTTTTCTTGGATATGGTAATGGAACACTTACAAATCAAAAAACGTATACAACTACTCTGAATTCAAACCCATCTTCGATCGTTGTTGGAGATTTAAATAATGATAATTATCTCGATATCATAGTCACACATTATGGTACTGGCAAGATTGGTATATTTTTCGGCTATGGTGATGGTACATTTGCAGCACAAACTACGTTCTTAATAAACACTAATTCGCATCCATATTATATTACTGTTGGTGATTTTGATATGGACAATCAATTAGATGTTGTTGTTGTTGATTCAGACAACGATCAAGTACATATTCTCCTGCAATATGATAACAAAACATTTGCTACAACGACTACATATGATGGAATATCTAGATCTCGTCCAATCTTTGTCGCTGTGGCAGACTTTAATAATGACAATCAATCAGATATTGTTATTGTCAACTATGATACTAACAACGTACTTATACTTACCCAATATTTTATAAAACCATCAGTAAGACAAACAAATTATAGTATTGGAAGAGATTCCCGTCCGACTTCAGTCATTATTTATGACTTCAACAATGATGATCGATTAGATTTATTGGTGAATAATTTTAATGATGATAATTTACTTTTACTAACTGGTAATGATAATGGAACTTTTGAGCAAACAACAACATATTCCACTGGAAATAAATCAGCTCCAAAACATTTTTCTATTGGTGACTTTAACAACGACAATCGTATGGATATTGTCACAGCTAATTACGGTTCTGATAGTATAGGCATTCTTCTTGCACAAGATAATGGAACTTTTTCTAATGTGACAACCTACTTTGTGGGCTATGGTTCTAACCCGTGGTCGGTCGCTGTTGGAGATTTCAATAATGATAGTCAATTAGATGTTGTCACTGCAAATCATGGATCTAGAGGTTTAGGTATTCTTCTTGGACATGGCAATGGATCTTTTGCTAATGCGACGACATACCATGCTAATATTATTGTTCTGCCCATATTAGTTGCTGTGGGCGATGTTAATAATGATAAAAAGTTGGATGTTGTCGTCACTGATGGTAGCTTGGACAATGTAGTTGTCCTTCTTGGACATGGTAATGGAACTTTTCCTGATACGATTACATGTTCTCTTGATAGTTATTCTGCTCCAAATAGCGTCTATCTTGTTGATTTGAATAATGATACTTATCTGGATGTTATTGTCTCTACTTTAGATGGCGGTTTCGTCGGTATCCTTCTTGGATATGGAAATGGAACTTTTCAAAAAATGACAAAATATTTGTCTGATTCTACATCGTCTCTTTACCGCATTGCTATTGCTGATTTCAACAACGATCATCGACATGATTTCGTTGTGACCGATATTGCAAATGACGAAATAATTATCTATTATGGATATGGTAATGGCAGTTTCCAACTTGGAAGGAAGTATTCTACTGGTTTTGGTTCGAGTCCATATGCCGTCACCACTGCCAAGCTGAAGAATGACAATCAAATAAATGTTGTTGTTACTCTCTGGGGCAAGGGAAAAGTTGGTGTTTTAACTGAATATACTGCTGCAGAATTTGTAAAGAAAAAAACATGTTCAACTGGTTCGGCTCCACAGCCATATTCTTTAGCTGTTGGAAATTTCAATAATGATAGTTTCGTAGACATAACCATCGTCAATTCAGGAAGTGATAATTTAGATATACTTTTCAATTCGGGTAATGGTACGTTTGTAACACAAATAACTTATCCTATTGGTGCAGATTCATATCCACAATATGTTATCGCTGGTGATATCAACAAAGACAATCATTTAGATATAGTTACTGTTAATTCAAAGAGTAGTAGTATTAGTGTACTTATGGGGCATAGTAATGGAACTTTTGATATCCCAAGAGTGTATTCAACTGGAGAAGATTCATATCCGTTGGCAGTAGCTATCAATGATTTCAATAATGACGATCGATCAGATTTAATCATTGCAGATGCAGGTACAGATAGTATAGGTGTACTTCTTGGATTTCATTATACAACATTTCAAAGTCAGAAGACTTATTCTGGTCATAATACTGGAGTACCACACAATATTATCACTAGTGACTTCAATAATGATACGTATCTAGATATTGCCATTGCTTTTCATTTGAGTGATAACGTAGGTATTCTACTTGGATATGGTCATGGAAGTTTTGGTGTTATGATGACTTATTCGACTGGAAATCGTTCACAACCTGAATCACTAGCTGTTCATGATTTTAACAATGATGGACGAGTGGATATTGTTGTCGTTAATTCAGGCACTAATGACATAGGTATTCTTCTTGGATATGGTAATGGAAGTTTCGCTACCATGATAAGATATTCAACTGGAGAAAATTCTAAGCCGGTTGCGATCGTCTTAACCGATATAAATAATGATGGTCGAATAGATATTGTCGTGACCAACTCTGCTACTAAAAATATAGGTATCCTATTTGGACATGGTAATTTGATTTTCGATGACATAATTATTTGTCCAACTGGAAATAATTCGCGTCCACAATCTGTTGCTGTTGGTGATTTTGACAATGACGGTCAAATGGATATTGTCATAACTAATTATCATGATGACAGTATCAGTATATTTTTAGGTTATGAAAATGGAAGTTTTACAACTCAAGTGACTTATTCAGCAGGTTATCAATCCTGGCCGTCTTGGATAACTGTTGGAGATTTCAATAATGACAATCGACTGGATATTGCTACTAGTAATTTTAATATGAACAATGTCGGTATTTTTCTTGGAAATGAAAATGGTACTTTTGATCCTGTCAGACCATTCTCCACTGGAGATGGTTCTTCTCCGCATTTTGTTGAAGCTCGTGATTTTAATAATGATGGCATATTAGATATTGCTGTGGCTAATTATGGAACTAACAATATTGTTGTGCTTTTTGGATTTGGAGATGGAAGTTTTCTACTAGGAACCGCATATCGAACTGATCTAGGATCTGCACCGTATGCGTTAGCTATTGGCGATTTTAACGATGATTCTCGGCTAGATATTGCTGTCGTCAATGAAAAATCAAACGATATAAGTATCTTTCTTGGATATGGCAGGGAATTTTATGCTGGTGTAACATCATATAATATGGGTTTTGGATCGCAGCCACACTCAGTCGCTATTGGGGACCTGAATAACGATGGTCGATCAGATATTGTTGTAGCTAATTATGGTACTCACAATATATCTATTTTGCTTGGACGCAGTCATGGAGTTTTTGATTCTATAGCAACATATTCAACAGGAGTTGGTTCTGCTCCATACTCTGTTTCTGTAGCTGATTTTAATAATGATAATCAATTGGATATTGTTGTTACGAATTCTGAAACTGACAATATTGCTATTCTGCTTGGTTATGGGAATGGGACGTTTGTAATTGAAGCGACATATTCAACTGGGGCTCGTTCTCGACCATGTGCAGTTGCCGTAGGGGATTTCAATAATGATAATATACCAGATATTGCCATTGCAAATTCTGGCACTGATAATATTCTTCTACTTTATGGATATGGAAATGGACTTTTCGGAAACAAAACTTTGTATGCTCTAGGCTATGAATATCGTCCGTACTCTATTGCAATCAAAGATTTAAATCAAGACAGTTGGATGGACATTGTTATTGCGTGTGCTGGTACAGATCGTGCAGAAACTCTAATAAAAATATGTTAGTGTTACTATCATTTCATATACATTTTCGTTCTCTCTTTTTATTTCTATTAACTAAAATTTTTTAGTAAACTGAGCAGTTGTTCTTCCTTTTTTATTCATATGAGACTAGTCATTTAATAAATAAATATATGTTCTTACGATGGTCTTAATATTACATAGTAGAGGATATCTCAAAAGTTCGGCGTGAAAGTAAATTCGAATAACTCCACTATTTATTAAATTTTATCAATTAATTTTTTTTCAAATGATAGGTACGACTGTGTCGTTTTTTTTCTCATTCAGATACACTTGTCAGATAGCTTTCAAAGTTGTTACTTTCGACTGAAGTACAAAAAGCAGTCGGTTTTTTATTTTCAAAAAATTACTCACAGTGTTTCTTTTTTAATGCGTTAGTTTCTTTCATTTTTGTGACGTTTAGATCGGCGAGATCTCGTGTTATTATTTCTATGCATTTATTTCCATATTGCACTGTTAAAAAGCAGTCTAATTGTTTCAATTCCGATGATCACGAAGCACATAAAATAGCATTATGTTTCCGAACAATGACTGGTGAACTGAAAGAAGTGAACCGATCTTATGAGCCTCGTGATTGCCAGACTTGTCACAATTAGGCTTCTTTTTGCAGTGATATATCAAAATAAATGCATGAAAATCAAAGCTCAAGATCTAGCCAATCTAAGGTCCACAAAAATGCAAGAAACTGACTNTCTCAACAGCTGTTCTCGTCATGTATACTTCGTTGGTCAAAATCACAAAAACTACCAATATCAATGTACCTACTTTTGAAAAATATTCACAATTATATTCAACTCATTTACAAGCTTTAACATGTCCATGTACTACAATATCCATTGATTATAAAAAGTTTCTCAATGTTGAATATACATTTCATCAAGTATGCAGTAGTATTTATGTAACCAATGATTGGATAAATTACATTGCTCCATCTTTTGGCGATCAACCCTATGATCCTCCTAATTTTGTGTGGACAAGTACAAATATATTTCAAGCTTTGAGTGCATTTTGTGAATTAACAAATAAAACAATTTCTAAAAGTTTGAATCGGTTCTATTCAAATCAGTATATTAGTGCCATGATAACACCGGTACACATATTTGAATCACAAATACAATCAATGCTTGAACAATTTATATATTCAACAACAAATCATTTCTTATTGTCATTACAAACTATACGAGATACAACTCAAGCCAATGCTTTGCTCTCGGCAAAACAAACAAATATTTTAGTGTATTTTCTATATGAAAATACTATTGCAACCGTAGCACCATTATACTATGATGATTGTGATTGTGGCTATTCAGCTAAATGTATTGTACAATCATTTATTTACAGTTATCCTAATTTAACAGAGTTATTTTCAATACCAGGTCAATATGTAGGATGTTTTCCGCTTGAATCATTATTACAATCGACTCTTGAATGTTTTTATAATCAAACATGTGTCGATATATTACATTCATATTTAGTATTTAATTCATCTATGAATGTAACAGCACTTGATGCATCTTTACCAAGTCGTTTCTTTGTAAATTCAACAATACAAGAACTTGTTAATAAATTAATGGTTGAACAATGGAATCGATCTACGATGTATGAGAGGTATTTTAATTCATGTCAACCAATAAGTTGTACCTATAATTATGCAACAAGAAATGATATCATTTATATTATTACTACATTGTTAGGTCTAATTGGTGGCATGGTAACAGTTTTAGAACTGTTTGTACCACTATTAGTTAAACTTGCAAGATGGAAAAAAAGAGCACCAACTGAACAAACAGGTAAGATGAAGCAGCTGTAGAATTATTGAAAGATAACGGTAAGATGCATATAGACAAGGTTTAATTACAAAAGAAATTTGTTTTTTTTCTCCTTTGATTCGATTAGACTCTTAGTTGATAAATTGCATTTTATCATTGTTTTGAAAATTGAGAACATCATATAGTGACTGGAACCATCCTGACTTCTTGGAAAAACTCATTAGGTGTTAGTAGAAGCTATTCAAGAAATTAATTCTGCCTATCAATAACAGAGATTAGAAACATCTCCTGTCTTTTATCTTATCAATATTAACACTTCTTCCAATATATATATATATCGCATTTTCTATCGTTCTTCTCGTATTACGTTTTGTTAAGACTGCGGCTTCTCGTTTGCCAAAATCATTAAGTTATTAACCGATCCAAGAGAAGATGTCTCTCTTTCAATGGTTTGCCAGTACCGAAAGTTCTCTTGATTACGTGGATGTCACTCGTTTTCATTATTACACATTTAAGCATTCAACTATTAGCCTACAAAAAACAAACAGTTCTAATTTTTCGACTCAGCAATCAAACATTGTTGTTTGCTGTCTGATGCAAAATTGTTGACATGAATTAAACCTTCAAATTTCTGACATTTTCTTGTTCGTCTATTTCTGATAATTATTACTGAAAAATTCTTATTCTTTTCTTTTAAGAAACTGATACTCAACAACAAAATCCTTCATTGTTTTCCAAGTTCAAACACAAATTACTGACATTAAACATGTTTCAATCTGTACCACCTTCTACCAATGAATTTGAAATTCAGAATGAACGAATATCAACACGATTATACATTATTCTTTGTATTGTTTTAACAATAGCTCTTGTCGGATATATTTCTCTAATAAGTATTACAAAGACTGCCACTGTTAAAGTATCCACTTTCAAAAAATATTCACAATTATATGCTACACATTCAAAAGCTTTGATATGTCCATGTAAAACAATATCCATCAATTATAAGAAGCTTCTTCATGTCGAATATACATTTCATCAAGTATGTAGTAGTATTTTTGTCACCGACAAGTGGATAAATTACACTGATGGACGTACTTCAAAAGAAATTGTTGGTGTTGATGATTTTCGATGGAGTGGTATGAACACATTTCGTGCTCTCCGTGCATTTTGTGAATTAACACACAAAATAACTTCGGAAGGTTTAACTCAGTTCTTTTCAAATCAGTATGTCAGTGCCATAGTAATACCTTCGTATTTATTTGAATCACAAATACAATTAATGCTTGAACAATTCATTTCTTCAACAACGAATGATCTATTATCATCATTGCAAATAATACGCGATACAAATCAAGCCAATGGCTTATGGGGTATAGCAGGTATACAATACAGTTTACGTCGACAGACTGGTACGGATTCTTTACATTTAACAATTCATGATTATTTTGGTTGTAGTTGTGGCTCTTCAGCGAAATGCATTCGACAAGCAACTATTTACAATTATTTTAATAGAACCACACTATTTTCAATACCAGGTCTCTACATAGGATGTTATGCAATCGAAGCATTATTACAATCAACACTCGAATGTTTTTACAATCAAACGTGCATCCATGAATTACAATCATTTTTAACACTTCATCCACGTATAAATGTAACAGCTCTTGATTCAACGTCACCAAGTCGTTTTTTGCAGAATTCAACAATACAAGAACTTGTCGACAAGTCAATGATTGAAAAATGGAATCGAACTATTATGCACGAAAGTTATTTTAATGCATGTCAACCAACACAATGTATTTATAGTTATACAACTAGAAATGATATACTTTATATTATAACTACAGTGCTTGGTCTAACTGGTGGTTTGATAACAATTGCGAAGTTTATATCACCATTATTAGTTAAACTTGTAAGAAGGAAAAAAAGACCATCAAGCACACAATCGGGTAAGATGATCTAACAATACTAACCTATATATAATACTGAAACGTATCTATTGAAAATATTCGTCTGCCCTGAACAGATAGACAGTTATTGATTCTTATTTAGAACTTTCTTCGTTGCCTCCCTTTCTACATGAACTATCCACTTAATAAGGTCTATTCGAGCTGACACTTTCAAAGAAAGATGTTTATCATAAGATGGTTTTTTTCATAAAAATTTCAGTTCGACATATCAAACTAGACTATGGATAGGAAACTATCATTACCAGACAAATATGTTATCAGTCACGGAGTAACGAAATATTCGTGAATTTCATTTTTTTTCACTAAAAAAAAGGCTATTTTACGAAAGCAATATTTTTTTTATAAAGTTGGATTAAGAGTTTTCAAGTCGACGAATCGAAATCTGTAATCGATTTCCTAAAACTCTTTACTTCATGCCTCGGTCAAGCTATTTCTACCGCAGAGACCTATGATCAAAATTTCGAATGGTTCAAACTTCACCAATAAGACCTTCGCTAATTGCGAAAGTTTTATTCATGAACTTTCAGAATTTCGAGAAGATGGCTTTAAACTATATGAAACTACCACTAAATGTGTATTATTCGAAAAAAAAATTTTTTTTTTTCATTCATTTATTATAGAAAACAATAATGATCAACCCACTATTGGTTTATGTCAAACGGTAGTAAATTTCTGTCGAAATTTCAATTTATATTCATCAGTACTATCTTCAAATAATGAGTGGGATCTTCGAAATGAACGAATAGCAACAAGATTATACATTTTACTCTTATGTCTCTCAACAATTATCCTCGTCATGTATACTTCGTTGGTTAAAATCACAAAAACTGCCAATATCAATGTACCTACTTTTGAAAACTATTCACAATTATATTCAACTCATTTACAAGCTTTAACATGTCCATGTACTACAATATCCATTGATTATAAAAAGTTTCTCAATGTTGAATATACATTTNATAACATTGTATATACACGAGGGTTTTCCTCAGGTACATAAGCAGATTGCTGTTGTTCCATTGAGTTATGGATTTGCTGACTTAAAGAAGTCATTTATCACCCGAATCCTAAGTCAGTGACTTAGATTCTTGTGAGGCAACGATAAAAAGAAAGAAATAGAAGAACGAAAGCAGAATCAGTAAGAGCAAGCGCGTCTAACCACTGCAAGTGTAGAAACGGGGACGTAAGTTGCGATTTTTTCTCTGGCTTATACTTGTATTATATACGCTGCAAAATGTGAGTTCGAAAAAAGAATCACTATCGTTTTTTTTTTCATCAGAATGGCATTAAATAATTCGTCATTTCTTACTTTTCACTTCCAGATGTGAATCTTATAAAAAAATATTTAGCCTACTCAATAATCAAAACGTTCCATTGTCTATGTATTTACCGTACTAAATTTGTTATTTCATTATTTGAATTCTTTTTCATTACGATCAATTACATGTTGTAGATAGAGGATTTCGAAAGCTACAAAAATATATCTATGTTATTGATAAATTGTGGTTTCGTGGTGAGAAACAAAGTACAAAAGAAAGATTGAATAGTAATCATCACCAAAGCGAAGGAGAAACAGCAGAGAGTTCAGTTTTGAAGTCTTTGTGCTTGAAATCTACTGTATCGCCCTCGCATCATACTCGAATAATTCTATCACAATGAAAAATCCTTTAAAAAAACAATCCTTTTTGAATCGAAGTTTGTTTTTCATAGCTAGTATACTAGTAGCTCTGTGATTACATTGAATTTCTGCTCAAAAGTAACTGTTACTGAGATTTATTTCTTGCTATCCGGTGAGAATATACTGTTTCCAGCATAGATTTTATAGGTAATGGATTTGTTGTTTTTCTCGACTTATGCTGGAACGTTTTCAAAATAAAAATAATTCTGTCTAGTTAGTTTTTCTAAGTTCTATCCATTACAAGAATAATTAAACAAAAAAAAAGCAAATACAAGGAAAATAATATTGCAGAAAAAAATAATATTTGATTTTTAGATTACCCTGTAGTTAAAAATTTCTTGTTTATTTTCTTTAAAAAAAAAAAACTTTTGTCTTCCTACAAAGTCTTTCTGTTATGTTTGATTATATACAAAGATAATCAATAAAACCAATTGCAAATCTATGTCGAATAAATTGATTATATGATAATTTAATTTTCATCATGATCAGAATCTTCTTCATCTTTTTCTCCTATTCCAGTATTTTTTGTTAAACTATTTCCTTCATTATATGCTTTCGTTGGTCTATTAAATGGATTATCAGGTGATTTCATCCATTCTTTTTTTAATAATTGTTTTAATTGTGATAAACGTAATGATGGATGTTCTTGTTTTAGTTTAGGTAAATTTTCTTTTTCATATACTTCAAATGCTGCTCTCATACGTTTTTCTGGATGACTGTCAAGTGAAATTTGTGATGATGATCTTAACAAAACAATAACAAGAAAAAAAATATAATTATTTGATTTTTTATAAGAGAACAAAAAAAAAATGGTGATGCTTACTGTAAAACATTAATAGCCTCATCAACATTTCGAGCTGAACTGCCATCAATTTTTAAACGATTAATATTTTCTTCAATTGCAATTTCTTCTTCATCCATTTTGTTTTGTTTAGTTTCTTAAAAATAAAAACAAAATGTAAAGAGAATAAAGATATACGAAATTATTTACCATTAGTATCAGTAGCGGCAGCAGCTGCAGCTTGTCTTTGTTGAATTTGTGCTTGAGTTACTTTTTTAGGTACTAAATCAGTATTCTTTTTCGGTTTTGCTGCTGTTAATGATGTTTCCTCTTGTTCAAGTAATTTTTGAAGATCTTGTTTCCGCTGTACTTTTTCATGTTCTTTTTGTTCTCGTTCGTCCTTAAGTTAAACAAAATTATTAGCCAACCAATTATTGCAGATTTTAAATATAAAAAAACTAACAACAACATACATTCACTTATCAAATGATTTACATAGTAGAATCTTGGATGTATTTCAAACAAATGCTCTCTACAATTATCGTTAAAGATCTCTACTCAAACAGACAAGAATTTCTAAAAATGCGTTTAAACATTGTTACGTTCATTCAGAAAACACTAAAACCCTACGACTTTGATCATAAAAAGTGCGTGACGATAAGAGATATGCAGCACTATTTTTTTTCGTACCGGCAGCTTTTATTTCTCTGGCCATAGTCGTTGTACCGATAAATCTGGTCTAGAGAAAACTATTTCAGAATTAATTCATGTCACATCTAAAGAAATTTTCAATAATTGTTTTTTTTTAAGTTTTCTAATCGACGACAAGTACTTTGTAATATGATTAATAAGATAATTTGCTGAAAACCTTTAATTATAATCATTAGTTCTGTTTGGGACATTTTTTCTCTAGATGTCTCCAGTTTCAGTAACCAAAATCGAAACTAAAAGTAATCTTGCACATTTGTAGTGAAGACGCCTAAAACGCGACTTTTACATGTAGAAGACATCCAAAAAAAAATTTCATAATATTTTGATGCTTTTTGCAAATGAAAATGACGGTTTTTAATCATAATATATGTTAAGAATATTGTGGATACGATTTTTTGAACGCTTTTCAGGTGCATAAGTCGCTATTTTAAGCATCTTCATGCACATCTTATGATAAAAATAGCTGGTTTTCTGAATAAACATGAAAATGGTTAAATGAGAACCATGATTAGAGTGTTTAAATGCGTTTTCAGAAGTGCTTGTCTGTTTAGGTACTGACAGTTTTAAGAAACAGATTTGTTTCTAGAAAATCAAACACAAAAAAGTTCATTCTGTTATTTCCGGAACATCATTGAATTCTAACATTTTTTAAGAACAGTCTGCAGAAACATGACTTTTCTTAGTTATTCTCAATTTTGTAATGCATATGAGTAAAGTCTTTTTTTACAGAAAACTCGTAAAAAATACTTTTTCATTTTTGTCATAGGAACATTTCGAAACTCGTTGCGACATTTTAGAACGGAAGACTGATATTTTATGACGGAATTTATATTCATTATGTCGAGAATTGTATATGCGATAAAAATTAAAGTCCAAAGTAAACAAGGTTTTCTACATAAACGCTAAACAGTATTCTATTGCTTGCAAAATTCTATTAGATATAAACAATCAAAAGATTTTTATCCGTAAATAGGAGAAAAAAAGCAAATAAATTTACTTTTCTTTGTTGTTTTTTTTGAACATTTTTATCATCCTCACGCCAATATTCATCTTCTAAACGTTTTTGTTTTTCCTGTTCATTAGCTTGTTTAACAGCATCTTTTCTTGCACGAGCTTCAGATGATTTTGTATTGATGCCAAATTTTTTCGACATTGTCTTTCTTTATGTTCGTATCGGTTTCTTTTCTTTCACAGCAATATTTATACAAAGAAAAAAAAATTTACGTAAGTATGTTTCGTAAGTGAATCCAACATGTAATTTGTTGCTCAATAACCAATGAATCATCGCCTATTAGTGACATCGTTTGTTGGGAAAAGATATCAAATTTTTTTTTACAAAAGATATTTTATTGTTTATTAAAATAAAATAATAATTAGACAACTAAAACTAATTTGATTACTATAATAATAATAATAATAATAATAAAATTATATCATTAAATTGACCTTGTTGATAAATATGATTCAAGTATATTCGTGTTTTGTTTATTGTTATCCGTTCGATATGAATCAAGTCCATTGTTAACTGAAATAAATTTTTGTTTATTTGACGAAATATATCAACAATCAAATGCCATAGTGAAATGTCAAGAATAGTGGAAGAGTGAAAAAAACATTTGGAGAGGGGCAAAGGTGAATGGATATCCGCAAGAGTTGAAAAGGGCTATACTCTTTCAATATTAATGATATATCATTGCAATCATAGACGAATAGGCTCAATGTCGTGTTCTATCCGACATAGAAGACGAAAGGATGGTGCTTCTCCAAAGATCGGGTTATTTTTCCCGGAGTTTGTGATGATTATACCATATACTATGTTTCTATGCTCCCATAAATTGAACGTTCGCCCTCCCGTACATTAAAAGTACTCCTCTAAAAAAGAAAATCTAGATAAAACATTGAATAGTAAAGAATAATAATTCTTATTTGTATTCTACTTGATGTTTCATATTTCTCATTAAATCAATTAGACTCTCAATAGTTTTCTTCTGGAGAGCTCGAAGATTTTTGGCTAGGAGAAGTGGCTTCAGTTATCCCATGACTCCATCACTAGTCGAGACCAATTACACCATTGGGATCAACTAGAAACAAATAATATATCTTCAACTATAAAACTTTGTCAAAGTGTTAAATTTGAACAAATTTATATTTTTTTAGCTGCATATTTATCGAAAGATCAAGATGAAATTGATAAATTATTAGAAGCGACTGTTGATAAAAATATATCACATTTTGATTGATTAACAGCACTTTATCAAGCATCTATCGGTAATAATTTAAGCATGATTGAATATATTCTTGACAACACAAGCTGATATTCAATATCAAGATAATGAAGGATAAAACTACTATTACATACTGCTGTATCTTGTGCAGATATTCATATTGTCAAGTAAAATTTTTAAATAAATTTTTTTAGTTTTATTTTGTTAAATCTAGAGATATTCTTTATCTTGTCGTGTTTTTATTATTGATGTTTGTAAAATGATATGAAAAACAAAAGGTATTGACTATCAACAATCGAAAAATTATGAACATCAATTAATGATTAAACATGTACAGGATACATTTTATAAAAATCGATTAAAATTATTAGCAGATGCTATTGTTCATGGGAAAATAGGTGCTATAGTATAGCATGTGGGTGTTGCCAGAAGATATTTAAATGTTATTCAGTAAGTTTTATTATTGTTAGTAACAGTCATGGTTAAAGTTGGATGAGTTCTTCTGTAATGCTCAGAATGATGAATAAACACAGCTATTAGATCTAAAAATCAATATTCTTCATTTTTATTTTTTTTCAAATTAAAACATTATTTTGGCAACCAAATTCCATGATTGATCTTTTTTATTTCAGTTTCCTATAAATGATCAGTATGTATTTTATCGATACACAGAATGAATTAGGTGCCGAACAAGTATTTGAATCAAAATCAATTGAGTTTGAAAGAAGACTCTTGCAGAAAAAAACACATACATTAGAAATAATTTATGTTTAGATACAATAAAAACTTCAATTGTCTTAAGATTTTCGTTTTTCTTTAAAAAAAATTTCTATTATAATTGGAACATATTTTTGTAATTGAACGCTGTTGATTGAGATCGAATCCTTTTTTTAGAGTTAAAATTCAACAATTTAAAATCATTACTAGCCTAATCAATGGCGAAGGTTTTACAGAAGAAATGAAATTCGTCTAATTCTTTTTTTTTTTGTGTTTAGTATTTTAGTACATGCTGTTGCAAATAGAAATGTGCAGCGTTGGTGTAAATATTGATAATGAGCCATCGAAACAAAATTTACTAGGGCACTGATTACTCTGACATCCGCATTTGTTGCAACATTAAGACATCAATTTTATTAACATATACCATTTTTGACGTGATGTATTTCAGTACTTCAGTGAACACTCTGATGCTAATGTGCCAGCGTGTGCTAATGTTTCGGTACAATTAATAAACGTATTCAGGTAAATATTTTTTTGTAACATAAAAGCTTGCATCTATTTCCATACATTTAGTATCATAACAATGGGAATTTATGAAACTATTGACCTAGTCTTAAAGTTGATTTTATAGTTGAATAAATAAAATAAGATTTTATTTTATTTTTTCTTTGATCTAGGAGAAATTAAATAATCTTTAAAGAGATGATTACATTATTAAAAACAAATGATATTCAAGAAGAAATATTGTCTGGTCTATTAAGTGTAAATTCTTCTTTTTGTTGATCAAATATTAAGTATTCATTATTAAGTACACAAAGAACATTTACAAATTCGTTACTTTCATTAACAACAAGCGATTCAAATAATAAAAGCTTTTGAATTAGAACTTAATGTACGTTGAAGACCCTAGTTAACCTATGTTCAGTATAAAAATAGTTCGTGTCCATGACTTATTTCTAGAGAGATCGAACATTTTTAGTGAAATTTAGTTTTAGGTTTCTACGCTGGTAGTAACACCATATTTCGGACTTTTGACCTAAAAATTTGTCCACATAAAGATATCAATCAGATTAGTGTGCATAAAAAATTTCAGAATTCTTGCACTAAGCCTCTCTGCGATACAAAGCTTTGAAAAAATATATACTGCATATTCTATTTATGAAAAACAGCCCCGTCCCTTAAAAGTTTCATATCACGGAAAGACTTACAAGAGAGAACCCCACCAACTAATTAAAAGCTTTTGGGCTCATATTCGGTCATAAGTGCGACTTGGTGGAACTCGAGGAACCTAAAAGGATTTGTTTCCATGTGATTCTATGATTGACTTACGAATATTCTAAGTTTAGAACCAGAAGCGGAGATAAACTACTTCTAGTGCTTGAATTACAATATTGTAACATTTCTATAGAAGTCTCTCTATTCTTTCCTTTATACTCATTCTGATGTGAGTGGTGACTTCAAAGGAAGCCAAAAAAATAAATCAGTCAGATGAGAAGATGTGGATAGGAAACAGCAAATAGAAATAATTGAGGAATGTATGTGACGACCTAGAAAGGACATACCTAAAACAATTGTATTGTATTGAAGTATAAATGCTCGATGCTTGTTTTCTATAGAAGTTAGCTCGTCAGATAAACACAACAACATGATTTTGACAATATCTGAACGTTTTATCTATGAGTATCTTAAAAAGAAAGTTTTCTTTTGAAACGTTCCAATATTGTAATTCAAGCATAAGAAGCACTTTATCAGTACTTCTGGTCCTAAACTTGGGGCGTTCGTGGTCCAACTGAATGGGTCCATAGGGGCAAATCCTTTTGGAGCTCTTCTAGATCCACCAAACCCTACTTATGACCAGAATATGACCCCAATACCTTTTAATTAGTTGTTGGAGTCTCGTCGTGAGTTCAAGAACTCTGAAACTCTTGATGCACCCTAGTCTAATTGATATCTTTATGTGTGTAAAATGTTCGATCGAAATTCGAAAATATGGTCTGGTGGCAAATGTCGAGTCTTAAGCGAACGGACAGCTGAGAATATTCTCTCGTCAGTTGTGGCACACAGTAAAATGAAAGCTTATCTCGTGCATCTCTTATCATCATCAACAGCATTATTGGCTGGTGAACATGATATTAAAACTGAATGTCTACAAAACATTATTCAAGAAAAAAAAAAAAGATATAGTTCGAAGAGAAAATGAAAAAAATCAGGTAAAAATAAAATTTCATGTGAACATTCAATTTTTGTAAAAAATATTTCGAACCAATAATATTCGAAGACTTGCGATCATTGTGTCTATTCAATCAGCATCAAACTTTTCAAAAATAATCAAATTTAAATTTTTTTTTTCAATCATTGTATAATGTTCATCAAAATGCATATTAGACTTTTTCAAAAGTCAACTTTTTATTTTTATAATAAAATTTTAAATAAGTTGTCGGCTATTGGCAATTGGTCGATTGATATCGATTTCAAAGATGAGATTTACACAAATATGAATTGGGTTGAAAGAAATCTTTTCTATTTTTTAAATTGTTGAGAGTGCACTCAATAAATATTGTTCTTAATCGAATAAAGAAAAAGATAGAACAGTCTGCTCTTGATTTTAGAGCAACGAAAATCACAAAAATTCAAATGTTTCTATTAAAGAAAACATAAGCTGCGATATTTTTCTAGATTCCATTTAAAAATGATTTCTACATAGAGAGTGAACACTTTTTATATTAAACAGGATATAATTAAGATGAATACTGAAGTATCATATCCAATAAAGTCTGAATTTACATCAGGCGATGATTTTCCAACAATAATTGCAAATGATTCATTAAATCTTATTGATTCTCAACAAGTTCGACGAAAAACGAGCCGTATCCATAATCAAAGAAGAAATACTGGAAGAATTATATGGAATGATGTACGAGAGCTCATTTTGTTTTTCATTGTTTAATATCTCATATTTTGAGTTTTATAGGAAACAAAACAAGTTGAAATTCGAGATGATTCTTCAATTCGAAAAACATCTAATGAAGGATCAAATGATAAAAATATTCAACAAGCATTAATGAAAAATTCTCGTAGTATTATATCTCGATTTGAAAATAAAACAAAAGAACCAATATGTTCACCATCAAAAATAAATCATTCACAAAATCAAGAATCATCAAAGAAAACATTAACAATAACAAACTCTTTATCAGCTAATGGAATTAATTTAAAAAAAGATAATAATGATTTAACTATGAACAAATTATATGAAGATACAAAAAAAATCATTGATCAATTAAATGAAAAAGCTGATCGATTAGAAAAAGATATTAATGAACGAGATCAAATCATTGAAAATCTCGTATGTTTATTATAAACATATATTTACATATCTTTACGTTTTCTAGAAAACATCTCAATATTTTGAATCATCATATGACAAACGAGTAAGAATGAATAAATAAGGCATTAAACAAAAAATAATCTTGTAGTATTTGAAGAATCTTATTGTTAACAATTTGGATCCTCAGAAATTTTAGAATATATATCGTTTTAAGTAAATAAAGAAAAATAAACAAAATTTCTGCATTTGCTGATTCAATTGTTGAATAGAAGTTTAGAGTGATTATAGAAACATTATTATGAAAAACAAGAAAACAAAAAGAGAAACTATTTTGGAAAATAGATAAAATGTTTAATGTCAACTAAAACTTTTTATATCTCTTCAATTTTATTCCTTGGGAATATTCGATTGTGATACGAAGTCGAACCAAAGGGAAACAATGTGCACCCAGAGCATAATGAGAATACATGAAATACGAGAGTACCGCAGTACGTCATTTCCTCTGTGAGTCGAATTGATAATGTTTCATTAGTTTTACTCTTGGAATTGCATTAAAGAAATCTTGGAAGAACCAATGTGTTACAAATTTAGTGATGAAGGCGATAATATCTTCTTTATTTGTGGCGGAACTTATATTGTGTTTTTTCGAAGATAAATATAGTGAGTGTAAGTTTCAAGTCAAGGTTTTACGGCCTCCCTCCTTCATAACAATGGGGCAGCGGGGGAGGAGAAAAGCCAATGATCAATAGATATGTTTTCCTCTAGCAGTCGAAGATAACAGATGAAGGCTCCTTTTTTCAGAGCTCTTTAGTAATGAAAAAAGGCGATGAATAATATAAACAACAAGACTTAGATTGTACTAGAAAATTCCAAAGGTGGCTTTCTTGGATTTTTAATGGCTAGATTTACATTTATGAATGTGCTAAACAGTATAGTTTTCGATTTTTTGCATAAATAAAAACTTTTATTTGCAAATGGCAAGGATGACGAGTGGTGATACATAGAATGGTCATAGTCATTATCATCATCATCATATAATCGATGTAAAAGGAGTGAACTAATTACGTTATAACTTTCGAAAATAATCAATAGCACTATTTATAAACTTAACAAGATATATAATAGTGCGTTGAGACTTGTTGTAGATGTAGTGAATATGTATTGCAGACTCATTTGTCAGTGAAATCAATAATTACAATAATAATAATATTAACGTTAAATTAAGAAAAATGGAATACAAAACTGAGAAACAACGAACGAACAACAACAAAACGAACAGAAAATAAAGCGCTAGTAAAAAAAAAATCTTTTGTTCGATATGCAGAAATAAATAAGATAAATCGTTTTCCTTGTGATCAATTATCCATGGAAAATGACTATAGTCTGCAAGTTATTTTTCACTTAATATATTGTGTACTAGTATAATGAAGCTAAAGAACGCACGCAAATCCTACATTTTAATTCCCAAAGAGTTGTCCTAACAGGCTTTTTCATTTTTTTCTCATAGAAAACTGTGTTGCATATAAGATAGATACCATTGAGGTGATCAAGCAACCTATTCAGCAACATTACTAAAAGTAGTTGTAATGCTACACGTTCAGTTCGTCACAATAGCATATTCATATCAATAAAGGCAAAGAAAAGATAACTAAGCGTTTGTTCTTTGATAGGTAGACGAAATAAAAAGATTTTATTTGTGTAATAAAATATGATAATTTGTCTTATAATCAGTTTTTTTCATTCTATTCTATTGTGTCAAAATAATAACTGTTAAGTTAAAAAAACTCCTACGCATATAAATATAATACCTAAATTTGATGACATTGCCGAATAGACGATAATTTTTGTTTACGATTATTCATGTCAGTGTCAAATCGAATTTAGTTTGTTGTTTTTTTTTGATATAGGAAAAACGATTTTATGAAAGAAAAATATCTGAATTGGAAGAAGAATTAAAAGTAAGTACATAGTTATTTTTTTAATTAGAATATTTTTTAAATGTTTTGATTTTAAAGAAAATCGATTTAATAAAAGCAGATAATATACGTCTAAAAGAAGAAAATGCGGCATTGATTCGTGTTATTAGTAAACTTTCGAAATGATCACAAGAAAATATTTCTGTTTTTTTTTAATTTAATTTGTACTCTTGCATGCTTCTTTTTTTCCTTGGGTTGTTCTTCATGATTATTTTTTTGTTATTTTCTTTCTAATATAAATTTAGTCATTTGGCGATGCTACAAATATTTTCTCATTTAAATTAAACTCAACATGATTCTGATATATTTTCAACTACGGAATGTAATATTTTTTTTTTTTGATTTTGATTTTGATTTGATTATTTCAATGGCTTAGACACAATTATATGGTAATTGTATGGATGCCTTTCTTATATAGTCTATATTACTTTTTTCTTCTTGTTTTTGTTTGGCAATCAAAAATATAACATAAAAATACACTTTTTATAATGAAAAAATGAAAAATAAAATTTTTTTTTTCTTATTATCAAACAGATGAGTTTTTGACTTTCATGATGAATTATGTGACAATACATTTCTTAATTTTTCTCATGGCAACTTTTAGATTTGTAAAACATTTCTATAGACGAAAACTTAATAATTTTAGTAATAATTATTTAAGAAAAGTTGACTTTTCATAACTATGATGACCAAACAAATGTTAAACTTATAATTTATATCCTTATGAATTGACTAATCTATTTAGTTTGTTGAATAAAGATTTTTTTATTAAAAGTCAAGTGTAGATGCATTGCTCCGTATTACGATAATATCCGATAATATATAGAGTATATATGGACATTTCTGATTGTATACGAATTTCGCATACTTCGTCCTGGATAAAACAATGTTCTGAGTTGAAATAAATTGCAATTGATCGAATACTTGTAAGAGAATAATTTATTTTGAAAAATAGAATTGGTTGTATTTTAAGATCTAGGACTTTTTTCCTGAACACTTTGTTGAATCAAAAACAAATCGCCTGATCAAAAGAATTTTAATCGAAACAGAAAACAAGAAAATTAATCGAACTTGTTATTAAAACTTCGATTAGAAAAGATGTTGCAATAAGCTCTATTAGCGAATTCTTATTGAGAAGAAAATCTGGTTTTAAAAAACAAAATGTCAACCATTGATTTACTTTTGTTTGAAGTCGAACTTTTTCTTTTTTTCATCAGAAAATATCTTTGATGCTGCAAAAATCATTTTCAGCTTCAATAAATACATAACTAAATATTCAAGAGAATAATAGCACATAGAATGAGTTCTGTGTAAGTAAAGGAGACTGAACCTTTATGAAGACGATGTGAATGTGATATAAGTTTGGATTTGAATCAAGGGAAACCTTACAAATTCAGATTCACACATCTGCCCATACCCACACTCATTCTTGAATGGCACTGTTGAAATGAAACAGTACATTGATCGATGTTGCTCTGTCAACGAATTGTAATACGTCTCTTTCAATATTTTTTTCGGCCGAGAGCAAAATTCTTCTCTCATGGTAAATACTTTTTTATCCAGGCATGTGTGCAAAACAATATTTTGAAGCCTTTCCAGAGTATGTTTTTCAGCATGTCATGTTTTCATTTCGTCAATGAGACGAAGGTAAAAAAAACATTGCGACGCAAAGTTAACTCTTGAGATGTCATGATTTTCGAACTCGTAGCAAAGCTCATTGAAGTATGCTTTCTTCTCACTTGCAACATATATAAACAGCAATAGTGAAAGCAGCTGTGTGTCTCTATCGAAGACAATACTGCTTGTAAGAATTGACATTTCTCAAATAAATACGATGCAACGATTTTTGATTACGCTAGCGTTGGTATTGTAAGTAGCTCTGTCATATTGAACTAATAATTTCCAACAATTTTACTCTTAGATTCTTTGTCTGTGCTATTACAGGTAAGAGATCACCAATAATACTCAGTCATATTGTTGAGAATTTCGTATGAGTTTGTGAATTTTCACTTCTTTAGTTTTTGTGTTTTTGTTTTGTTTTAGAGGCTTATTTGATTGCATTAGCTTATGAATCTAAAATATCTTTCTCTAAAATTGCACCGCAGTCGTTGTTGCAGATTATTCGCGCGAAACTGTTTATAACATTGAACCCAACTGTTATTAGTAACGCAAATCACAAACTAACAACAGTTATTGAGGAGTAAAATGACGGAGAAGCATTCCATATCTCGCGCATTTTTTCGCACTGCTATCGGTAAATCATGACATTCACAAGAGGCGACGGCATACCGACGATTTATCGGCTTCAGCTGTAAACGATAGCAGACACAGAGAGTTTTCTAATCAAATTTTGAATTTTTTATTAGAAAGAATTCAAGTTAGTCGAGAAGAAAACAGTTTCAGAATATATTGCAATAATGAAATTTTTAGCATCGCCATCTAATATAAAAATTCATCTCATAATTGAAATTGATTTAGACTCTGTAGCTAGTGCAGGCGGCTTAGACGCAGCAACAGTACTGGAGTATCCAGGAAGTGGTCTAATCCTGCAGCTTTAACAGGCTTTAAAAAACTCACTCGCTTCCATACAATGCACTATGATATAAGGCATTCAAAAAAAACGTCGGCACAACGCACATTATGCCACTTCATATACCGACGGTATATTGGCAGTAGATTCTCGGTAGTTATCACATGGGATCTCTCCAGATTGAGTTTGAAAGGTTATTTTATATTTTCAAAGTCAAGATACGTACAGAGAATGTATTTTTGGATTCTTCCAATGCTTTATTTCAGCAACAACGCGGTCAACCACCACAGAATTCGATGATGGTCAAGATGAATCGCCATCTAACTCGTCTACAAGACGTTCGACGACTACAATTTCAATATCAAGAACAGTGACGATGAGTACCACTATAGAGTCGTCGAGAAACCGAAGTACTACAACAGGAAGGTCAAATAGCACAACAAGGGATGATATGAAACCGTCAACTAACACAACCTTAAGAACTTCGACAACTAGAAGTTCAACATCAAGAACAGTACCGATGAGTACCACTACTGAGTCGTCGAGAAACCGAAGTACTACAACAGGAAGGTCAAATAGCACAACAAGAGATGATATGAAACCGTCAACTAACACAACCTTAAGAATTTCGACAACTAGAAGTTCAACATCAAGGACAGTACCGATGAATACCACTACTGAGTCGTCGAGAAACCGAAGTACTACAACAGGAAGGTCAAATAGCACAACAAGAGATGATATGAAACCGTCAACTAACACAACCTTAAGAATTTCGACAACTAGAAGTTCAACATCAAGAACAGTACCGATGAGTACCACTACTGAGTCGTCGAGAAACCGAAGTACTACAACAGGAAGGTCAAATAGCACAACAAGAGATGATATGAAACCGTCAACTAACACAACCTTAAGAATTTCGACAACCAGGAGTTTGACATCAACGACAGTGCGTACTAGCACTACTGCGAGACCATCGACAACCAGAAGTTCAGCAACAACAACAAGACCTACTAGCATCACTACGAGACCAACGACAAAGAGAAGTACGTCAGCAGGAAGATCAACTAGTACAGCATTCGATAATGAGGAGGAACCGTCGACTACCACAAACATAAGAACATCGACGACAAGAAGTATGTCAACAGTAACACCGAGTTGCTCGAATCGCACTCTTTGTCAAAACAATGTAAGTCATGATTTTGTAAACTGAATTCGACTTCTCATCAATGAAACGAAATTACGCATTATCTCGCAGAGAAAGAATTGTTGAAAAATCCCATTTGTCGATATTCTACAAGACAGTTTTCATTTTTTTTCAGAAAAAAAGAGGACCTTCTTGGGTGTTTATCTACAAAAGCCTTTCGAAGACAAAGTATAGAGGTGTTAAAAAAGTCAAAAAAATGACTTAAAACTATTAGTTGAAGCTTTCTAGCAAATTAGGTAGAAATTGATTATTGAGAGAACTCATCAAGTAGGCATCAAAGGTAGTTGCTGCCATGTTTGTTACGATAATAAGTACTAAGTTGAGAGTTTGATTGTGGAATGTGGATGTGAGTGTGTGGCTGAACACAAAATTCAAACCCGCACCCACATTCACATCAGCACTCATGCTCTAATATATGTTGGATATTGACGACAGAGAAATGTTCTAGTTCAATTATCGCGACATGTTATTAAGCAAATATTGAGCACAGGCCTAGTTTTCCTCAAAATGAGTTTAGAAAAATGAAAAAGATCACTTTGGTATATTCGCTCTTGTCTAAAATGACTTTTGCCAAATGACGAAAATAATGAAGTAGCATTGACAAACACTCTGTGAACTAACGTAGATATGGAAGCTATTCACTTAAAATAATCTACTAACGAGATATCCATCGATGATACATACGATGGCGTTTGAGTTAATATATTCAATGCGAGTTCGTTGGAAAACAAGTATTAGTAACCTTACACTTCATGTGAACAAAATTAGATATAGAAAACAATAGAAAGCAGCTTACCGTGATGAAATATACTGGATAAATAACTAGCAATAGGCTTCAAATCTGAATGCAACTACAATCTAATAATGAACCTACCAATAAAACTAACTAAATCCAAATGAAGATTACTTGTTTCTTTTTCCTTTTTTCTTGTAGGTTTTGAATCATTCGCCTATGGATAAGAGACTAATATTTGCTTGTGATAATGGCGAAAATATAAGAGGAAGTAAATTTCAAGTGGTGATAGTTCATAGTTTTCTGAAAAGTATAGCCATGCCTTTGAACTAATTTGTGAGAATGTCACAGTTTCTACCAATAATACAGAGAGTTCAAATAACTTCCTGCATTAGATGGAAGCCACTTTAACAGAGTTCCAATCTCTCATGAATCTCTTGCTTTAGTGTTATGCGCACATCAAAAAGATTGTGTATTCCTTCATGATTGCGGTAAACATTGGGAAGTGTTTTCGGAAACATATGTTGGCAAATCTGTCTCATGTAAAGAAATTAGAAATTTTGATGATTATTTCTTCGAGACGAATGCCAATCTTGAAGGAAGTATTGAACAAATCATATTCAAGATACTGACATTGCCACTTGATTTACAGCGTCACATATATTCCATCATGATGTGCCAAGTCAATGTTTCGAATGCCATGCAGATTTTATTTGATAATTGAGTTTTAACCCATTAGAAACAAGTTTTCAGTTCACCATAGTTCTAAAAATTTGATATTAGTGAAAATCGAGCTACGTATCTATTGTGATGAATCGAAATGTCGAAATCCAGACGTCTTTCTATTATTCTTGGATATTTGAGTACTGTATATGTTCCTTGTGTTGTAGGGCACTTGCCATGTAGTAGGCACTAGTTCTTATTGTCTGTGTTCATCAACATATTATGGTCCATTGTGTCAGTATCGTGGTACGGGTACGGATTTGAGTATACTCGAAGGCATTCTCAATGGTTCACTCACAAATTATGATAGAACAGTGGAGGATGTTTTCAACCGTTCGACTTGGAATGACATGCTTGTTGTTGTTGATGTCACTGGATCAATGCAGCCATGTTCGGCTGCTGTTTATAAATGGATGAGATTAGCTTACGATAGACTGAATGCGATTAAATATTATGTCTTTTTCAACGACGGTGACAATATGCCAGATTCACTCAAGGTGATCGGATCTACCGGTGGTATCTATGGTACACCGACTACTGATTTGAATTCAGTGCTAGCCGTAATGCAAACAGCTATGAAGAACGGTAATGGCGGTGACATACCCGAGAATGATATCGAAGCAATTTTATATGGCATCGCACAATGTCCGAACTGTTCGAATTTGATTCATATAGCTGACAACCAAGCCACTCCACGTGATATGGTTTTACTTCCATATGTGAATAAACCTGTGAAAGTCATTACTTGTCAGCTGAACTCAACACCTGTCAACCCAGCTTTGCTTACCATTGCTGCTCAAACAGGTGGTTCTCTACACACTCTCGAACAAGATATTATAAACTTATCGAGTATCCCGGTGAATGGTACAATTGTCATTGGAGGATATACATATCAACGAACAACAAATGGTTACATAAGGATCCGCTAGCGAACTCTTTATCATTTCAATCTTTGAACAATATATTACTTTTTTAACGGCAAAAATAAAATTTTTTCATGTGTACCCATATACTTGATAGCTAACTTTTATATTGGCAAAAATGACATTGATGGAGTGGGTGTGAGTGTGGAGTGTGAGTATGGGTGTAGGTGCTGGTATCATTCAATTTGCCATCCACTTCTGCACACCTACACTCTGGTGGAAGCGCTCAGTATACAAGTTAGAATGCTCCAATTCAGCAGCGTTTATTGTACCTTTTATATGATCTGCATGATCAAAAATATATTCTAAGCATAAATTTGAGCAGTTTTATTCATACTGTTGAGACGATAAGTGACACAAAAAATGATATGCACATATGTGCACATATATATATATACATTTATTTAGTTATTTACTTATGTATGATCTCTTCAATAAAATAAAAATTTTGTTGTTTCTGCTACCTCTTTAAATCTTTATTGTCTTTCGGAGTGTAAATATAAATTACTTATTCTGTACGCAAACAATCCGTCCGCACGTTTCGTAGATCTCTATATACGATGGACTAAATAAATACGACTCTATTTTTTTTCTGATGCATATATTCCGTTTACTTTTGTATTTATGAAAAAAAGTAATTTGTTCATGCATTAACAATATCATCCTGAAAAGTCTGCAAGGATTGATTAAATAACAAAAGATGCCTTACTGTGCAAATTATCCTCAGGTTATACATGTATACGTGGACTTAACAAGTAAAATGTCTTGAAAAGGCGTAAACGAATAATGCAAACAAAATTATGGAGGCATAAAACAGATTTTTTTGCTCTACTTCGCCACTGGCACCATCGATGTATGCTCAATAGTCTCATGCCATTCAATCAGAGAAATTTCAGTCGACGATAAAATCTACTGCTTAATTGTACTGAAACTTACTTTGACACTTACAGTGCTACCTTCTTGGCTGCATCATGGTCTTGTTCACATCACCATTTTAGAATAGAATCAAATTTATCGAAAATTTATTGAAAAAACTGTTAGTAAGCTCTATACGTTATACTAGCAAACACAGGTTTTAGCCGACTGGAATACATGTCAAGAGACAAAACAACAAAATCATTCTCAAGTTAAAATCTGTTGAGGATACAACTTTTGATTTTAACCATCATTATTTTGTTTTGCCGACTACGCAAGAATCAACATCGGAAAGCACAAATAGTTGTATCAAAAACATGCATACAAAACAGTAGTAAAACATATAAGAGAAGAAAATTAAGAAAAATAAACATCTTGACTTGTTATCAGGAGGTGGAACAAGGCCTTTCGCCTATCTCTTAACCTCATGCTTTTTTTCTGGTACAGACTTGAGCTTGAGCAGCACCACCACCCGATGTTCTATAAAACCAGAAGGTTAATTCAGATTTAATTTAAGAAACTTTGTGTGTTGATTGTGCTTATTACTTACTTTTTATGGCCATTGCATCGATATGTCTTTAGTCCGGATCATCCACTTGTTCCGAGATAGGTATAATTATTACATAGATCATCTGCATTGTAAGTATCCCATTTGGAAACTTCCAATTTTTTATTTCGTGGATAAACCCAAAAGTTGTTGTCACGATTAGGATTGCCATGGTAGTATACTTCTGATGTGGATGCTGCTGTCTAAAAATTGGCAAGGATTCTAGATAGATATGGTTATCATTTTGTGGAAATGATCTTGGTGACACAAACGATTAAACAGAGCAAAATTACAAGTTGGTTGCGTTGTGTCTTTCTCAGAAAAAATTAGGCCAACTATATTCGGAAAGACTGTTTCATACTGATGCGCTTTTGGTCTTTGTGTGGACACAGAAAAAATCGCAACACACTATGGTATTATTCGACAAAAGTAAAGAAAATCATCAGAGAATGTGAAGCTAATACGATTGCAGCTAGGTCGACTATTCCTGTTGTACTATTTTCATTAGTTTTTTTATGTCTTGTTTCACTTGTTATTATTGAGGAACGATAAAACAAGAAATCTAAAATATTGCTTTAGTGAAAATGAAAACACTGCTAAACATAATGTAACACAGATGTATTGATAGTTTCAATTGAAATGTAGTTGTTTATCGAAGCATAGCTTATGTTTCTTTCTTTTTAGTCATATATCACGGCATTTTCCAGTCATTCGAATGGTGGAGTTTTTGTCTGAGGTATTCTATGCGGATATTACAGTCCGCTGAGATTTCCAATAGAAACAAATATGTCTTTCTCTCGATATTAGATTCAAACTCTATCCCATCAACTGTGTTCTTCATATTTAACTGAATGTTTTTGGAATATGTACTGCAATGAGAAAGCACATTTCTTACTATTGAAAAAATCACGTTCATGGAGTACCGATCGTTTTTTTCTTACATTGCTTAAAGGAAATTTGATAAACTAAAATTCACCAGTAGATTCAAGATTCTTCTGGATAGATTTTGATATGAATCAGAATTCTATGGAATTTCTAGATGGAGCCTTGCAAAGTACTCTACAAGTTTTTCTGAAAAAAAAGAACTGTCGCTTTTTGGTCCTACAGTTCGTTTCTTGTGGACATTATGATCAGAAAGAAACTTCACTGATGATAAGTCATACTGCAAATAGATTGACAAAAGCCTTTCCTTTCATTTTCGAAGAAATAACAATGAAGCATGGAGCTCCATCAAAAGAGTACAAACTACTTTGTTCATTCCCTGAGGTATTAATTTATGAAAGAGGATGAGGCTGTCTTAGTCATTTACACAACGAAGAAAACGAATTTTTTCGACATTCAAAACTTCAAATATATGTAAAAATTAAAAAATTAAAATCGGAACAATTTGAAATTAGTGTCCGAAATTTGATAGTCAAAAACAATTGACCACCATCTAACTGTTACAGAGAAACTGACGGGCTAAAGATGACAACTCAAGGTGGAAAAAATTGTTTTTTAACCTCAGAATTTGAAATCTATTTTAAATAAAATGGATAAATAAGTGAACGCGAAAATTGAAAAATATTATTTTCGATTAATTTGTCTGGCAATGAAGAAAGAAAAAACACATTAGGATGGGATAGATAGTCGTCGAACAATGTTAGAGAAAGAAATTTTTGATTTGTATTAAAATTTGTAAACCAGTGTCCATCAGTCTAAGGGAGATTTCATAAATGAAATCTATCCAAAGAGAATATCACAATCTAAAATTCCGTCACTTGGTCTTCTCAAGAACACGGTGGTATACGGTCGCATATAAAACGATGTCTCTGCAACTGTTGATTAGTTGGCAATGGATACAAACCGTTTTTGCGGCTCTTTGAGTTTCATACACTTCTGCTTACGATCAACTTTGAGTTCGGATAACTCTCTCGTCAGTACAGAAAAAAATCCTTTATATTCCACGACTTCCTTTCCAAAACACATGTCTAGTCACTATGTACAGCTCAAAAATAATCAAAACATTGGGCGTCGCCACGGATATACCATACCCTAAAATTAGAAAGTTGATTCAGACTATTTTAGAGAAAGGTATGTTTTGACTGTGCTTATTACTTACTTGTCATGTCCATCACACCGATATGCCTTTAACTTGGATCATCCACTAGTTCCAAGATAAGTATAGTTATTACATAGATCATCTGCATTGTAAGTATCCCAACGAGGATCTTCCAATGCTTTATTGGACGGGTAAACCCAGAAATTATGGTCACGATAAGGGTGACCATGATAAGTTTTGCCCGACATGGCCGCCTGAAAAAATACGTGAAATTTACTTGAAATTACATTTGTACAGAAAAAGTGGAACGGGCCATTTTCGGAATACTATTTAATCCTAATATTGTCTTTGGTAAATTCTCGGGATGTATTACACTTTGAGAATATTTTTGGCTCTTTTCATAGGTAATTTACATGAATAGTGAATAGAAAAACGCTTTCTTCATCAAAAAAAATTCTTCGTGATACCTATAGTGTTGCAGATTCAACTTGTTTTCTGACTACATATAACAAGATTCTGTCACTGAGATAGAATATTTTGCGCTCATAATTTTGCTCATTTCATATTTACTCTGAAAAGAAGGTTTTTTCGCTTAAATAGCAGACAACAATTGTATCTTCAAAGTTTGATGCCTCAACAAATCTCAATAGAAAAAGAATCCTATGAAGATTTTTCTATTTTAGTAGACTCCTGATTGTGGGTACTATTTTCATTGTCGTCTTCTTTTTTCTCTCATTTCTATTTGCATCTTCAATGAAATTTATGTGTTCGTCACAGACAACAACTACTAGCGTCAAAAAAAAAGCAGTGAATATGGAGACGAAAAACAAATCCTAGGAAGTTTTCGTTAATATTGGTTGCCTTCAGAAGAAACGACAAGATTGCAAGTGTAAGTATTATTGTCTTTTTGGTCTCTATTTATATGACTTCTTTCCAATTCTTCGACGGAATTCTTAAGTTCCCACACATCTCGTGATAACTGGAGGAAACCCATGCAGAGTAAAGATAACAACTACAAAGAAAGATAAATTTGCACCCCGTAATGTTTACTGAAAGAAAGCAAACAGACATCAAAAAGAAAATCATTTTATCTCGCCATGGCTCTCTCTCTCTTTATTGCTTGCCCTTTTCAATAGATTCTTTTTATTTGCAATGAGAACGACTAGTGCTATAAAGACTAAAAGCAAAGAGAACATGCAACGAAAGAAGAACATAATGTTATGTCAACGCTATCTACTGAAAGAAAGAGAAACGAGAGCGACAAAACAAGGATTTTGTTCTGGATCTTTCCTTTCCATTACTTTTCACCCACTAGCATATATTCTGATAAGCATATACTGATGATCTTAAACAAAACAACCCATTGTTTGAATGTCTTTCTCGTGAATAAACATTGTGTTCCAGTCATAGATATGAATGGCAGCAGAGAAAGTTCTGGATTGAAAGTAGTCTTGCTTGAAATAGTTATTTTTGGCGTATGCGGCTTCTAAATGTCTGAAAAAAAGGCAAAAAAAAGCACATTCTATCTTAACAAGAATCAAGAACACGAGCGATATAATGAGAAACATGTGTGTTCGTCTTCGACAACAGATCGTAGATCGTCGAAGTGGTACATTTCTATGGAATGTTGACGAAAGAGAAAAATTACGTTGACAAATTGCATGATACAAGCATCGCTATGCTGAGCAAAAATTAAATTTAACTCCATCATTTTCGACGGGTATAGCATAATACAAAACTCTGTTTGTTAGATTAGTAGTGAATTCAATCGTACAGGCCATAGGGAATGATTCGCAGACCAATAATATATAACTATTCTCACAGGCCAATTTTTATTCCAGACGAATATGGTATGATATTTCAATAGATTGATCAATAGTTTTTGTGTAGAAACTGCATTCTGCTTAAAAAAATCAGTCGATTATCTTATTGACTTTTGCGTATGGATCCACATGTGTGACTTCGTTATTTTGGTCTCATTTCACCATATTTATTTCCACTATCGCTAAATATCAACATCAATCTGCATCCAATGTAACTCATACGAGGGACAGCATGGAGGAAAACATGCAGAAAAAAAGGAATTAATAGACTAGGGGACACCCGGGATCGAACCAGGAACCTCTCGATCTGCAGTCGAATGCTCTACCACTGAGCTATATCCCCATGTCAACAATGTGTAACTTGTAATTGAGGTTTCGATCAACATAAAAATACGATATTTTTGTGTTTTGCTCACTAATGTAAACGCTGGTCTTGACGCATTCCACGATAAAAACATGCTTGAACACGCTATACGCCGAAATGAAGATTAGTCACACTTTGGAAAGACTCAAACAAGTGCATCTGAACACATTTGAATGTGAAATAGTGTTCAGGAACGGTGCAACTGTGCGCGTTGAAACGCGATTTTATTTCAAACCGCATCTAAGCGCATATAAAAGAAAATAATTAACCGCATTCACACTGTCTTATAGTTTAAATCATGTTTAGATACGAATGAAAAAAATACCGCTACACTCATACTCATGTTTTTTCTTTGTTGTACCATGCTTCAGTTGCCTTTAAGACAGTTTTTTCTGGTGCATACTTATTAACTGAGATAATGTTGAATATTTTTTAAACTTTCAAAATTCTAAAACATGTTTGGTTGTAAAGTAACAATGTTTTAAATGCTTGACTAGATAATGAAGACAGAACATAAGATTCTTTGAAATTCGTAGCAATGACAGATAAAACGAGCCATTCAGTTCTTTTTAGTTTATCAATGACATTGGATTCAAATTTCACAATGATTCTGACTGAATTACATTATTATTAAATTTCATTCAAATCCTATAAATAATATAATTGACTTTTTAGCAAATACAGATTTATATCAAATCATCCGACACGTTACCCACCTTGCTTTCAAAAATAAGAAAAAAAAATTCTGATATTCGTCATGATCAGCATAACATAATAACATTTCTTTAAGCTTATAACTACTGATTATCAGAAACAAAATAGAAAAATATGTTGAATATATACTATTCCAGTTTTCAAAAGTAAATGCGCTTGCTCTAATAAATCGAGAGGACTAAGTTAAACTTCAAATATACTTTCTATTTAACAAGAAATAATTTAAAGTTTGTATAGCTCAGTGGTATATATGCATGACTTCTGCTGAGTTCTTCGCTTGTTGAAATTTTACTTCAGTAGCTTAAGGTAATAATCCAAGTCGTTCGTCAAGTTATGTGAAGTTTATCATGATAACATGTTGATGACAACTGTGTTCGAATGTGAGATGGATTGCAATTTATTTTTAAAACTTTAAACTTTCATTTGGAACGCATTCAAATGGGTTTCTATCCTAAATTTGGTCTAGACATAAAAAATCTTCTGATGAAGGGGGTGCTCAGCCACAAGTCAAAACAAATTTTCTTAGTGCATCACTTCAAGCTATTCGTTTGCATGTGCACATAAGTTATACAGAAAACAACACTACTATTATAAAAACGGGAATGAGAAATGTTGATGATCTTTCAGTAGAATTAACATTCAACACAATCCAACGTACATAGGTTACGGAGCAACGAATAGTCGGATCGAGTAATATGAGTGAGCAATAACAACTTTCATTGAAGTATTAAATGACAAAGCAAGATGAAAGCGATCGTCAATCACCAAAGCGTATTAACATAACAGAACCAAGAATAAGAAAAAGTGGGCATAATAATATTTACCGTTGCTATTGTCCCACCCCATCACAATTGCATAGACGCTAAAACAACAATGAAAAGATAAATACCCTTTAACTTAAGCCTTTCAAACACACAGATTTTTATCTTCTGCACAAGAGTCTTACATTGCTATCTTTTTACATAAGAGAGCCATCATGTGATGAATCAGTGTATATCAAGTATTGCCGCTGCAGTTCTAAATTACAGCATCTATATTTGATTATCTTTCATGAATGATTTAGCTTTGAGATAGAGATATTGTCAAGGTATGTTGAATCATTTTTAGGGAGCAACATATGACTAGTTTCGAGAAGAAGTGCACTATTCACCTGTTAGAAGAGTATTGGTCTTGATGCTGTAATATTGATATTGTATTGCTGCGTGCATGTTGAACTATTGTTTCTAAGTCACAATTGGAATAGAATTATTATCAAAGTATCAGAGTTGGTCTTCGACTAAAACTTGTACGATCATACATCACGAACATAGTAGAGATGAGGAACATTTATGATGATTAGTTTTTTCGCACAGGTTTTTGTTTCTCATTTCTAATCATAGACAAAACCCATCACAATATTTTTTGAGAGTAAAACGCTCTTTCGAAACACACAACTGACGACATAGTCGCGGTTATATTCTGTGTTCGTAGGAAAAAAAAATATCAATTCGTATAGAAGAAGCATGTATAGAGGTAGGTAGAAAGAAATAATGAAACCATCACTACTTGTTTATATATGTTCACACATGTGCACACTGCATTGCACCGAAAAAAGAACAGAACAACGTTTATTCTACACTGTATTTTTGATAGATTCCATAAGAAGAAAAATCCTAGAATCAGAAATCACAAAAAGTATCATTGTACGATCCAATGACAATGATGCCTGTGACTATTATCTTGATAGTCGTGGTATTCTCAACCCTTCTTTTCACTGAAACAGGTTAGTTCGTTTCTATAATATTCTATTTGTCCTTGTTTTACTTACGCATCTCATGATTTTGCAGTGTTATGTGAGGGGGTTTTCTATATGCAACGAATTCCATCGTCTTGCATGGAAACTACTTTAAATTTGAACACAAATGGCAGCATTTCACATAATTGTTTAACCTTTAATTGGAGTCAAATTTCAAATTTGACCATAAATTACACTACCTATATGAATTCTGATACAAATCAAACATATTACGCACAAATTGGTGCATTAACTGTTTTGGGCAATATTGATAATTATAGTTTAAATTATCAATGTCCACCAATTGGATACAATGGTGTAGCTCCGGGTTGTCTAACTGAACCAAATACTGAATTGGTCGTATTACATGTCAATGTTTTAGATAATAAATTATATGCTATAGATGTTATTCTGTCTGGTACTCCTTTTCCTTCACCAGAAAATTTGATGGATAATCAACCACCTTTTGGTAAAGCTCATCACCAGTTCACTACGGGAATACCAGTGCAACCTACTGGCTATTTTCAAGTTTGCAAAAACAAAAATAGTGATCAATGTCCTAATAAGAATATCGATGAGCACAAATTACCTCATCCATTACCAAGTAATTATGGATATGGTATATTTGGCATTCAGGCACTTGATCTTGTTACTAATTCGACATGGATAATGGATGACCTGAATAAACTACTTATTGTTACTGCAGGTACTAGTTATTATTATTTTAATGCAACTGGATTCTTTATGTATGATTCGGTTGAAAAAAAATGTACATGGTCAAATTCTTGTGATTATATTTGTGAAGTCTATAATTACAATTCTCGATTCTTAGATTTTAGTGGTGAATGGATAATTACAAAGAAATGGGGGATTAACGACATGCAGCCACTAGCTGTAAAAACTTGGATTGGAAATGCTATTGATGCCGCTGGTATCTTTCCGATTATCATGTATACTGATAAGAAAACTGGCCATTACTTAGGATTAGACAAACTTGATCCAATGCCGATGGTGAAAATGGGTGCCACATATTGGTACACTGAGCATGGCAACACAACGTCGAGAACTAGCATTGAAGCCTACCACCCAAATGTTGTGGAAGTTGGATGTATAAAAGATATAACTGAATGGATGCATGTTGAGAAAAATGGTGACATTGGTTTGAGATTTGACTATGTTCGAATCATATTTGCCATCATTGTTTTTAAATATCTTTCAAATATGGATGAAAGACTCTTTTAAATAATTTAAATCATATAGATGAAAAATAAAACTCTTGAATGGATTTTCTTATTGATTATCAACCAATATCCGCACAAAAAATGCACCTCACTAAATCGTTTGAGTTTTGTGATAAAAAAATGCAACATTCGAATGACTAGACTGAGAAAAATGGAAGATGAAAGCGAGTACGCCCATCGTTGTAAGGAGTTTTCAGCAGCTTATGCAGAGAACTATCGAATTTCTCTAGTTGATATGTTATCATTGATAATCATTTCAACAATTCCTTTTCTGAGTAGTTAAGATGGTAATAAAAACGATTTTCATAGTTGTTCTCAGATATGATCAATCGACGACGAAGTCAACGGAACAGAAGCAACATTTCTCTTCTCGTACCATCTGATAATAGACAATAGAGAACTAACGATCTGATCAACTAAGTCAAAATCACTTTCTCAACAGTTATGTTGAAATAACGAAGAACACTTTTCAAATATAAATAGATGGTCTCGATTTCAAAACAATATTAGACTATAGGAATGTCTACTTGTAGACTACATTGAAACAGCAAGTGTATTATTTTAAAATAACTATACAATGAATAGTTCGTCAACATAATGTGTTATCATCGTTTATTTTCCATCATTTCCCGTTAGCTTCTGAAGCCACTTGCCATCTTCGAATCGAGCTATCGACTAATATTTAGATACAACGTAATGATAACATATGATATGATATATAATTACGTCTAAAACTATCGTAAAACAAATTTTAATTAAACTGACCTTTGTATTGCCCCCGTCAAAAGTTGTATCATCAAATTCGATACCAGGCATAAAGCTAATCGTTTTCGTTTTAAGTGTAGTCTCGGCACGAACAGTCCACGTACCTTCATTTTCTGAGATGATAAGATGCGGAAGAATTTCTTTCGCAACCCAACGCTTAATCATTCCGAATCCAACTTCTTTCAAGAACTCATCAAAATTTTCATGGTCAATCTAAGAAGAATAGAAATGATTTTATTATTTATTCACTGAAACTATTTTGTCTAGAACATACGTGATCTCAAGTTCCAATGAATGCTTGTACATCATTACTGTTAGCCATATATTTTTTCTTTTCTAAAATGAATCTTTATGCAATTTTTTGTTGATTTAAGAGCCCTAATAGGAGTTGTAGAACTTCTTTGCCGGAACAAATATCAAAGCGATGACAATGCTCGGTAGGATGAAAATGGCATCTAAACCTTTTCACTCGACAAGAAAATGTCAGAAGGCAAAACAAATTACTTAGAATATACTCTTCAATATTTCTATCGGCGTTACTCAGGTCGATGAAATAAAAAGAAAATTCACACAGCAAAAAGAAAAATGAGTTACCAAGACAACCAAGGTAATTCTCGGGTCTATCAAAGTGCACCATTATTAATGGCAGCCGAGATGCAACCTGAGTAAGTACATGGACAAGAAGAAATATGATAATGAGACATTTCAATTCATGTTATGTAGTCTATCATATTAGCGGGATTCTTAACATGTCAAATTGGTCAAAATGATAATAATTCGAATTCGTGAAACAAAACCAGAAAACTTAAAGTGTAAATGGAATAGTGGTCGTTTAACATTTTCACTTTATAATTTAAGTAGAAATGACTAGTTGCAGAGAATTGGCTTAAGTGGTACCAAAAAACGATCCAAACAAGTATTAAATCTGGGTTGATGTGAATACTAAATAGAAGATCAATAAAAAGTTTTCTCAAGCTTCGCAAAAACCATCGCTATGTTTGTTGTATCGGCAACAAAAGTACAGAGCAAGTAGTTAGACTCCCAAAAAAAGGATAAATCGATGATAGACAAAGAGCACCAAAAAATTCCTTCAAATGCAACACTAACTTTTCTAAACGTTAGTTCCTAGAATGCATTGCACAAAACAATTACCAATCGCACACTGCAAGTATTCCGATTCTACAGTATTATATAGCACAGTCATTCTGTGTTAAATGAAGTTTGCTTTTTGATCATCAGAAAAAGAATCAAAATATTCCATTCGTTATAGATCAAGTCTTGCGCATGTACGTCATTGATGCATCTAAATCGCTCATCATACAACTCAATGCATTAATAATATCCTCGAAACTATTCTTAAAATATGCGGGATGTACTCTCAAATATATTGATTTGCCCAGTAAATGTATATATGTCAAAGTTTTCGTCTCATGAAGATTTTCTTGATTTCTCTTATTCGGTTTTGACAACGTTTTACAACGATAAAAAAATGATAAAACCCAAATGATTATCTTAATTCAATGTGTAAATGATCAATCTCAGTTATGCAAGAATGAAATCAATCTAAATAAAGGTGGTTTATTAATAGGAACTTTTCCAGAAAAGTCAAATGTGAATATCATTAGAACTACTTCAATTTCATTATAGTTTTAAGTATGTCGCGAAACACACGTATTTGGAAAACAGCTGTAACAAGTCGAGCGAAAAAACTCGGGTATACACTGTCAAAAATCTGGCAGATCGATTCATGGGAATTGGAATTGATATGGGACTATTACGGCCCTAATTAGGAAGCTTTCGATGACTTCCACTTGTTTTTGCATTGCTCCTAAACGTTGATTTCTTTCGAACGAAATCAATGTACACAGTAGAGATTGAGATTTGTTGAAAAAGAAAAAAAAATGAGACAATCAATTATGTAAATTTGTAGTTGTGTTCCTTTTTATATTTAAGTTCTGCAATGAAGTACTCAGAAAATAGTGATCAAGTATTATTTTTTTTAAAATTTATTTAGGATTGATAGGATAGATATTGAAATTCAAAATGTTTGCTATTCCGCAAGTTTTTTTAATTTACGATACTTTGTGTTATGGCATTAGAGAAACAATGACTTCGCTGTATTCGATTTATATCATTTTGTTGTCTTAGTTGATTTGAAAAATGATGCAATGCCAACTAGAACAATATGAAGGAGAGAGAGACAGAGAAGGAACGTCACCAAAGCATGCTACAAAACTCATGACAGTACGTCTATTACACTAATCTTTCTCAAACAAAAGCTACCGAACAGGAGTAACTACACTTGATCATCCTTGATGACAGATAAATATACATATAATGTTATCGGAATAGCTTCAATCGAGAAAGTCCAAGTCGAAGGTGAAAAAATGGCCAACAATACACTTCGTATTTTCTTACACCACGCAACATAAATTCTGTTGCTTTATGTAGGACTTACTTCCACGCATACCTTCTTCAGTCGTTCTTTACGAACACACAGATGTTTGCAGGTACGTGCTATATGTTCGGGTTATGCCTGCAGATGCGGATGACTTGTAACCGTAATTTCTTTCTTTCTTTCTCTTTGTTTATGTCTGAAGTTGAGATAAACAACGTACATGAAACTGTCATTCAACATCATGATCTATTATCTGACTACAACGACTCATTGCATCGTTTCTAAAGCTACAGTTAGCAATGTAGTTCTATAAACTGTAAATGCAAATAAGTCTGATGTAAGTATTAACTAAGGAATAAATTTGCTGGGTTCAAAAAGGCTATATATTCGTTTTTGAAATGAACTTTTACAATTTTTTCGTGCTGATTTTTATCACACACTAATGACATCTTCACTTCGTTCTCCGTGTAATGTACAAGTAGATAGTTGACGATATAGGTAGCAAGTTTTTAGAATCATGATGAATATAACTTCTACATCTTTGACACAGTGATAATTTTTTTCATTGTTTTCTACATCGAGTTATGTTTTGTATACTTGATCCATTTTAGATACCAGTGATACCGAAGTCCTCCACACCAACCCCCAACAAGCATCTATAGCGCTAGTGGTTTCTATATGCCTTGCATTCTATTACAAAGTTATCTCACCATTCAATCTTACAACGTTAACATTTTTTCCATGACTATGCATTGTACTGTTGACATATAAAACATCATATTGAGGATTGAGTGAGTATCTCGACGTCGAATCAATAGAATAAGCTGGCACTCTTGTCATGTAGTGACAATATTAGCATATATTGGTGCGACAATTTTCAGCCTGCTTAGTCACTTTGCCGAGATAAATAAAATATATATGTTCGCTGGGTGGTGTTCAAGACATTGAGAAAGCGATATATCAAGAAGACATGTAGTCACAGTAAAAATTGCACCTCGATCGAACTTAGTTTGAATGATGAATCAAAAATTGACCAGTGTCATGTATTTTCATCGGCAACAACTGAGCATATTCATTACTTAGCGGTGAAGATTCAGACAACCGAACTCTTTTAAGCTTTTACACTATTCTCTACATTCTACAATCTACGCATAGTCCGAATCCAAAAGCGATCGAACACTTCGGGGCATTCTCTCATTAGGGTACTTTGAGAATAATTGTTCGTTATTAATTGTCTACATGCAGAAATACGCTGCTCTGCCGAAGAAACGTTGCAAATGTGTTGGTGATCTGATCGCGAAAAGTTTTCATCGACACCCGCACTCTATCATCATATCGCTTTTACAATAAAACAAATATTGTACACATAGAAAACAATCAACATTGTTCGTTAGCGATTTACTGAAAGTTATAATGACATATTTGCCTTTGTGTACGTTCGCGGTTATCGTATTTCTCATGCATATATAACGATACTAGTCAACAGATATCATCATATTAGTTACAATGAGAGTACTTTCTCGATTTTTTTTCAACATAAACCTAATCATTTTAAATATTAAACCAAAGTTGTTTTTATTTTGTTCCTATTACTACTACTAAAAGATTTATATTCGTCGATCATATAAAGTTTATAACGATCGCCTTTGGTAGCGTTTAATAGATTTATTTTACAAGTATTCTCTCTTATCTAATGTCATCGTTTCTTTAACAAATGATAAACGACATTGACTATACAGCATTTATGCAGAACGAAAGAAAATGTGAGTGAAACAAAAATATTTTCGGTGATTTTTATTATCACGACAAAAAGAAAAAACAAGAAAGCCTTATCCACTACTCTTTAAGGCGTGCCTCCATGTTTTGCTCTTTTCTTTTCATTTTTGGTTTACCAACACACTTTCGAACTTTTTTATTTTGTTATCAGGCATATGTTCTGAGTAAAAATCTTCACGACGAATCGATTATTTTCTATCTGATAGTTCTTTGCTTCTATTCATTTGATACACTTTCTTGAGATTCATTGCGAATGGCTGAAATAATATTAGGACGGAGTAAATTCCATAGTCGAAAAACTGCTTCTGATAATGCCAATGAATTACGCGTTATTGGAGCTGGATTGCCACGGACAGGTACTTCTTCACTCAAAGCTGCTCTCGAAATACTTGGCTTTGGTCCTTGTCATCATATGTCTGAATTATTTGATAAACCTGAACAAAGCATCTTATTTGCACGAGCATTAGATGGTTACAAAACAGATTTCCATGAACTGCTGAAGGGATATGGATCATCGGTTGATGCTCCAACAGCCTTGTTTTATAAAGAAATTCATCAAGCTTATCCTAAAGCAAAAGTCATACTCACAGTACGTGATACTGGTGAAAAATGGTTTGAAAGTTTGAAAAATTCTGTTGGACCTATAGGCTCAGATATTTTCTACTATATTGCCATTTATCCTATTCGACATTTGCGCCTACAATGTATTGTTGCCAGAAAAATTGGTAAAAAATGGATGAATGAATATGATCAAGTAGGACCTCACGTTCATGAATTACACAATGCTCGAGTTATAAAAGAAAACAAACAAGACGAACTGCTTGTGTTCAATGTAAAAGAAGGATGGTCTCCATTGTGTCGATTTCTGAACGTGCCGGTTCCAGAGGGTATTCCATTTCCGAATGTGAACGATACCCAATACATTCAACGCGGAATTCGAATGGCAAGAACAGCAGGATTGTGTGCTTGGGCATGTATTATTGCAGTGATAGCCATTATTCTTTATTTCTTTATTTGATTCATGAAATTTTAACAGTTCGAAAGTTCCGCTATCTTCGATCATAAACAATGTTGGCAAACTGAGGATATCCCCAAACGCAAGAATGAAAGACAACCTTCCCCAAATAGAAATGTAGAGAATAATAGGTACGAGCAAATCTGATAATTCTCCTGTAGTGCAAACTTAAACATTCCTCAATAAATTAATAACGATAAGAAAAAAGAAGTGGAATCGTCTATGAATGAAACTGCATATAAATCAGTCAATAACACTATCATATAAAAGACATGCAGATAGTCAAAAGTAATGTTTTTTTTTGGCACGAGCAGCAACCATGAAACACAGCCATGCGCTAATGAGCACTTTGCTGACTACCTGAAATCGAATCGAAAAACGAGAAAACCATTTCTAAAAGAAGTATTTTTATCTAGCGTCGAGATTGGAACGCATTCTTACAAAACAAGGTCAGATATATGAACGATCAATTTTTTTCCTTCTCAACCATGCTAAAATGTTTGGCGACACCAAAAAGAAAAGCTATATCATAGAGATGGCAACAATGTCATGTTCAAAACTCGATCTAAACTAGAAGAATGCTCATCATTTAATGAGATGTTTCTGCTAATTAGACAGTGTAAAAAACATCAATGTTTAGTGAACAATTTAAATGAACACTACAATCATTAATAATGGTGTGAGTTTAATTGTGAGTACGGGCTACGATTAAAATATAGGTTTGATCCACGCTCACACCCATAAAATACGATATAAAAGCAACTAATGGTAGTTTTATTAAATTCTCTTTCGTATTCATCATATTTATTTCTATACGAAATAAATCCTCTACATAAACAATTTAAATATCTGCTGTAGTGTGTTTAGATTACGGCGTCATTTACGTTCCACTAACATGATATTAAACAAAGAATAACTGAGGATGAAGGATATTATTCAACGAACGATCATTTTTCAAGGACATTTTCAAAGAATGTTTTAGATTGTATTCTTCGAAACTTTTCAATGTTTTACAATTTCAGTACAGTTAAGAATGCAAGATTACGAGTACACATCTAGTAGCGATCTAGGCAATCTTTGCAAGACTCTGGAGATGTTGATGTAGTCTATTAGTTTTAATGACAAAAATCCAACGATTTAGTTCAATCTGTAGTGTATTAAAAAAATCTTTTCTCGGAAGAAAAAACATTAAGAGTTCATCCATCGGAAGAACCGCAGTGTAAGTAAAAACAAAATTGTTATTACTAATGAGATTATAGCATAAATCTACGATGCATAGTAGAATACAGGATGGCAATAGGTTTTCTTCTCTGTTAGATCATTGAACTGAACTCGCGCTCTTGCTGCAAGCATCCATGCAATGCCAAAACACGTCCCGATGATCAAGAAGAAAATGATAGCACCGAGATCAATCATAATCCAGCAGCATTTTGTGAAACAAAATTTGGTAGATCCTGAGTTCGAATCGTCTGAGTGTACAATTTTTCTTTCAACACAAATTTTGATGGAATATCAAGGTATAAGGAAAAAATGATGCGTACAGGATTAAAATCAAGATGAGCACATTAAGAAGTAGGTTACCAGAGCTTGAAACTATCATGAATCGAGGCATAATATCGCTATCAAAACATTGTTTTCTGAAGTAGAGAGCAATGCCCAATTGCAGCAACGGTACAATTAAGCAGATCAATGTCATACTAAATGTAAAAATCAATCAACATACTGTTTCAAGTGCTTGAAATCAGGGTATATACATGAAGAAAGGAGTTGAATGGATTTGTTTATTTTCATCCGATAATTTCACTATTGTCATGGGATCATTTTGAAGCGGCTGTGCCGATTCAAGTTTCTCAAATGTCGAATCCATTAATCACAAGTTGCAAGAAAATAGTTAATTGACGTTTGATAACAGGTTGAAAGCTTCTTTGTTGGCTTGGTTGTGTAGTTACTCTAATTGAAGTACCATGCTCCTGTCTCTTTATCTATAGAAATCAATAGAGAAAATGTTGCATACAATTACCTTAAACAATCAGAACTCATTTTGACATATTCAAAAGCAATATCTTGTTTATTCTATCAGTCAATATATCATCATGCTTCTTTTGTTCAGACTGTTTCCTTTTTCTGCACGATAGGCACAGTATATTTTTTGCTTCATTCTGACGAGAAAAGAGACAATTTTATTCTCTCATCTATGTAAAAAAAATCAGAAGGGTTACTACTCGATGAGCAATAATATTTCTCGACAGTCTTGTTCTCTTTCTCGCAATTGATGGTTAGAGTCACAGGACTATTCGTTTTTTCTGTATGGAAAGAAATGTAACCAGTCAAAGAGAACCATGTATTATATCGGATGCATTACTCGCAGCGGTAAGGCATCTACAAGTGCAGCAAATAAAAGCATTTTACTTGTACTTATGCTCAAGTACAAAAAAACTACATGTATTTTGGTATGTGTAGTTAAGTACAGAAAAAGTATTTGGTGTTTTTGTTTGATGTTTCCATATAATAAATCTTGTCTTTAAAGCTGACTACTTCTATAGTTTTTCAAGACCATCGTAACATCCTATGATCAAAAGAAGTAAATGAAAATAAACATATTTTAATGGAATTCTTTTCTTCCGTGTGCTGATAAATTCACTGCATAACACTTGTAAAACTCATTTATTTTCATTGTTCAAGTTTCTTCAAAGTTATGATGCCCGTTCTACTTACTATAATAAATAAATACAGTTCTCGGTGCGACAAAGAAGAATCTATATGAGTTCAGATTCGTTCTCCCGAAGCCAGGATAGATTATTGCTTCGCTGTAGCTTCAAATCGTCGACAGGCTTTGTTAAATATTGACGAAAGATTTCTTCAATATATCTCAGACCTCCCCAACAGTTTAGGTTAAAACCATTAATTCTTTCTAACAATATTGAACGTTAAAAAAAGTGCAGTTTATCAGATCTATTCTGATATGTGACTAGTATTTTTTTAAATGTAATACGTTTAGGACGAAAATATACTTTGAGAGAAACTTATAGAATCATTTGAAAGTCATCCAGCCTATCAAATAACTGGCTGTTTCTAAATCGAACATATTTCATTCGTCATGCGTATGCGTCTAAAATATAAAAAATGCTTTACATAAAAGTATCTTAGATTTTAAAGAATAAGTAGCAGCCCGATATTTTGTTTTAATTTTTATTAAGTTCATGAATATATTTAGTAGATGATTAAGCTACTTAATTAAATAATCTTGAATATTTCAGCGTCTTTCATTGACAACAACAGCGAAGCGTTCATAAAGATATTTCAAATACACAAAAATACCTCGTTTCCTATTACAAGTAAAAATACAAAGTACTGGTTTTGTACTTAAGTACAAGTAGCAAGTACGGTTCCCAAAGTACGGGTATAAATGCCAAGTACACCTGATGAATACTTTGGTTCGAGCTCTGATCTTAGTGCAAAATATTTCAAATGACATCATTTCGTTATAATTGTAATAGTCGTAAAGATGAAGTAAAGAACCATTATCTAAAATAATAACTTGATAGAATGTTCCAGCTAAAGATTATGGATACTGTCTTTAAAAAACTCACAAAACAGCAACAATTACAGAAAATATTAGTTATGATGAAAAGGACCAAAGGCTAAAATTTTTCTATTACGATTTCATCTCAAATTTTTCGTTTTATCTTACTACTATTTTCTTAAAAACTATACTGTATAAACAAAAACAAAATATGTTATTTCTTCTTTTCATAGTTCGAGGAAATTTTTCATTTTCGCTATAGATTTTGTATATCTAGTTAACCATACTATCAGACAAAAATTGAACAGAATTTTATTTGATGGCATTGTACAACAAATGAATTAATTGTATGATAGTATAGTTACTACAGTCTTTTAGCAATAATAAGAGAATGTGGGTGGGTGAAGGTTACGGCACAGACATTGGTATTGGGATCGGTGCGAATGAAGATGAGGGTCTTCTCTTTAATCATACTCTCATAATGTTTTGAACGAAAACAAGAAAATGAAATGAGATTCTAATTCTCAGCCTATCCACATAATATTAGATTCTGGGAGGAGCAGAAACAAATATAACCATCTCGTCAAATAATCTTCTTAACACAAAAAATGTCTGTTTCAATTATGTAATTATCTACAGTTTTTCCTTGAGAAATAAATGCCGTGACGGATATGTATCTTAAAAGTGGCAAGAATCAATCTTTATTTCATACTTTTATTCCAGGTTTTGCAGGTGAACAAAGATGAATTTTTTGCACACATCTCACATGAACGGAAGATACCTTCAATGCGTTTTTTAATTATGAAAAGAGAATTAGGCTTCAACATTTCTTAAGAAAATCTTTTATATCTATGGAGGTAATACATGGTTGAAGATGATTCCATCGCAATATTACCTTATGATTCATTTTTAAACAAAGGTAAACTTTGATAATTACAAAACATGGTGTTATAAATACATCTTTTTTTGTGTTCTATTAAATCAATTGATTAACTCCTTTTATGAATATTTCACGTGGTCAACAGAGTTGTAATGAAATCATTATCGAATGATTTTAGTTTTTTTTTGTCATAAAACATTCAAAAAAATTATTTTAACTACATATATTGCAAAAGCCATTTGTTAGGTGACAATATTTGGTATATGCGTTTTTGATGGTGAGTAGCTACCTTTAACATTCTGAAGAAATAAATGGTGATTGAAGTACCATTGTTTTCTTAAATGTGGTGCCGTCACCAATATGTGATTCCATCATGGAACGTTTTTCTTCTTCAATAATTTGTGTATGCTATTTATAAAAATTTCTCTTCATTATTAGCTGAAATAAATATTCCAATTATTTCTACAACACTCCAATTCTAGATCTACTTTCTGGGGTCCGATTAGGAGCCTATTTTCCAATTATAAAATCAATATGAACTCTAGGGATTTAATGAAACTTTTATCATGTCAGAACAATCTCTAGTACCTTTCTTTTGAA